CACTTTCTTCAGCAAACTGCAGATGAAACAGATATTTTTTTATCATTAAAGTGATTAAAACATATCCAGTTACACTTTTGGAAAGCTTTAGGTCATATGGTTAACAATCTTGGGGTCTTTTAAAAAAAAAAAGTATATATATATATATATATACATTTTTTTTTTTAATTTTTTTTTTTTTTTACAAATTGCAGCTCTGAGTAAGGAAGTAGTCTTTGAGTTTGGCACATGACTTAATCTGCCAAACCATTGCCCTGCTGATTTTATTTCAGAATAGTCTATTCTCAAGTATGAATGTATGGTCTGCTTTTTTACTTTCATTTTTTTAAATCTATTTTTAATTATTTCAAAAAACATTTTCTTTATGCTTTGTGAAGCACTTTGCAAACACATATTTATTATTATACCTATTGTTGTTGTTGTTATTATTGCAATTATTTATTTTTTAATCTGCTTTAAGTAAAAAGTGTTTTGAAGCTTTAAAAGTGTTTTGTGCATTTTAGGGTAAAACTTAAAGATGAAGACAGTCATTGTAGTGTTGTCTATCCTGGGTCTCAGAGTTCCACTAAAAAATCAATAGGTTAAATAGATTAAAATAGAATTAAAATAAAACCATTCTGAACAGCGTTCTCTGTCTTCATACAGGTGGAGCAATACGCAGGTGGAGATACTGAGCAAGTAACTGTTGCGGTGAGAAAATAATTTCTGCATAACAACATCCCAAAACAATGTATTTACAAGTCTATCTACGTCTTTCTGTGAACACTGTGTTTACTGATCTAGGGTCAGCAGCTCATTGGTTCTCGTCTTGCTCAGACAGACCCCATCACCAGGAATATCTTCTTCCCTATTCCTAGAGCTGACAACGTCCCTACAAACCCTTATTTTAACTACCAATACCCATACTACCCATACTACCCACACTACTCTGCCTACACACTCCCCCCTGTTGTTATCAGTCTGCCTCCGAGAAATCCCTGAAACTGCCTGAATCATTACTTCAACAGCTTCAATGGCAGATGGCACAGGTGAAAGCTTTTCATTATGTATATTTCAGGCTGATGCTCGACAAAAAATGTCCTTCATTCAATTCTTAAACAAATATACTAAGTGTGCAATAATGTGATCTGTTTCCAATTTACTGTGTGTATCTAAAAAGGTTTAATTAAGCAATAATCACATGACCAAGGGTGCACTTCGTCCAATTATTTTGTCCATACTTGTAAAATTGTTTTACACAATAAAAGATGTAACATTGCACTACCTGTAGTGAATTTATTGTTGCTTCTGTATTATATTCATGAAATAAATAAATAAACAAACAAATAAAGATTATAAATAAATAAATAAAAGTGCCAGCTAAATAGAGGAGATTATGTTTGGTTGGATATATGGTTTGATCAGGGTTAATTTCGCCCTCTTGACACACATGACATTAAAACAGTGAAACCAGTTTAAATGAGGACTACTCATTTTATATCAAAGCAAAACAGAACTGAAAGAAATGAGCTTAATTAATCACTTGTGGTGATTAATCACTTGTGGTGTACCTCAGGGCTCTGTGCTGGGGCTAGTACTGTTGTAAAATAACATTGTAGTGAAATTATTGTTCCTTCTGTACTATATTCAATAAATAAATCAATAAAAAGTTTACCCAAAAATAATATTCTGTCATCATTTACACACCCTAGAGTGGTTCCAAACCTGTTGAACACAATAGATATTTTGAAGAGTGTTAGCAATTAAAAAGTTGACGACACCCATTGACTTCCATTGTATTATTTTTTCCCTACTCAATGGCTACCTGTTGTAGTACAACGGAAACGATTGCCACAATTCTTCAAAATATCATCGTTTGTGTTCAACAGAAGAAAGAAACTCTCACAGGGTTTGAACAACTTGAGGGTGAGTAGCTTAATGACAACATTTTCATTTTTGGGTGAACTTTAATTCCCTTTAATGTCCAGTAGTTGCGCATTACGTTTAAATTCAAATCATCACCTTTATTACACCTTATAAAAACTAAAGAATCACACATGACCTACACAGTGACGTCAAACGGTAATTTTAGTAGCGCATGTTAAGCCTAATATAGGCGTTAAGCCTAATATATAATTATACAATTTCCATTAGGCTACACGTGTCGCTTACATGTAAATATAGTCTAATTGATTACAATAGCAATGCAATTTCAATTTAAAGGTCCGTAAAATAATTATTGACTAGGTGCGTATATGTTGTTGGTAACTTATAAGTAGCTGACAGTGAGTAAACAGTTTAATGTGCAGTAACCATTTTAATCATACCTGCTAATATCACCACCGCTGAGAAGCTCATCTTCATTCTCCTTCCTCTTTCGTTTCTAACGCAGCGAGTGACTGTTGAACAGTTTCTCTATCGCACTGTAACACATGAGTGACAAGAAGAACATTCACGCGCGCATTTCGTGAGCGCGCAGGGGACACGTGCACGCCTCCGGTCTAATAATGACATGTCAGATGAGCGAAAACACCTGTCTATGGAAAAAAACAGGCGGGCAATTATGCATTCTAGGTGGATAAAAAGATAAAAAGCGAAGTATTGTAGCTTATTCGGAGTGTAGGCTGATGGCACGAATTATAAACAGTTCATCGTAAGAGACCATATATGAAGTGCAATGACCAAAACTCAACACTAGGTAGAAGCAAATCATAGATTCACCTCTGTGCACTTAGTCACCATGAAATCAAAATGATCAATTACATTTTGTTATGGTATACCACAGTGTTTATTAAAAATTGTTTATCCATGCACACTGTTTTTTTTTATTCATGCGCCTCCTAATCTTTAATCAAAATACCCCCCCCCCCCCCCTTCCTCTTGCAGCATCTCTTCTGTTCTCTTCTTTTTTTATTTTTTTTTTTTATTGCAAATTAACAAAGGAGTAATACATACAAGGTAGTGAGACACATATACAATACATAAGAGAGAAAAAGCACAAAAACAACGAAATACAAAACAGCCCAGTACAGTCATCGATAAAGTGGTGTATGTAGGGACATGAGATCCTTTCTGTGATGCAAGTGTGGATAGGGACAGTATTCTGTTCTCTTCTTCTCTTCTCTTCTCTTCTCTTCTCTTCTCTTCTCTTCTCTTCTCTTCTCTTCTCTTCTCTTCTCTTCTCTTCTCTTCTCTTCTCTTCTCTTCTCTTCTCTGAGAGGGCGGGACAATAACCTGTCACTCACTTGAGATCCACCAATAGAAAACCACAATAGCAGCCAGCAGCTATAGCCGATTACCTTAAAAATCACTGTTAAAAAATATATATATAAGTTATGACAACATTTCAAAATAACTCATCAAAATAAGTTAAGCAATTTTAAACTTTTTTATAAGTTATACAAGATTCAACTTATTTTTTAAGTCAGTTTAATGCAATTTAAGTTGAAATGACTTAAACATTTAAGTTGATTGTACTTGATTTAAAGCAGCAACATTTTTTTACAGTGTCCGACAAACGGAAGGAGATCGGTTTTCCTGTTTGTTCTTGGTTTGACATAAAGCCTATGGCTACTCTTTAATCTTAATATGATGTTTCAATATGACATTATGACCATACAAATATTAAAGACGCCGGATATTAAGATCCATTACTGAATGTAATAATAAAATCACTGTGATTATTGCTCAGCTTTTTAATTAATATATTATTCCACAAACATTGGTGTATTTTTACATAAATTGCAACTGCATGTCATTACAGATCCTTCTTGTCCTCATTGTGCCTTCGAAGAAGTTATTGTTTCTCCAATAAGCTTATTGTAAGATAATGCATAGCTCTAGGTCCAAAGGACAGATAGGCTATTGAATGTAGTTTCAAACGCATTATTTTTTAAATAATTTGGCGGATGGCAGGCGGAAGCAACATGCAGCCGCCATATCATCATCATTACAGGTTTATCCTCATTGCAAACCACATTCCATGATGATCTGTCAAAACACGTCATATAGGTGTGGAGCTCAGTAGGAACAAAGGGCATGTTGACTTTGTTTTGCAACTCACAAATGCACCAGGGCATATTATGGCGATGCTAACAGTACCAGTAATATCAATGATATCAGTAATAGTACATGACAGAATAAGACACCTGTTGAAGCATAAGGCTGGTCTAAGCTGGCCAGTTGGTTTCCAGATGAATCCGTTAAACACTGAATTATAGGCCAGATAAACTGTCTTAAACAAACCAAGAGCAGCAAACCAATTTGTGCTAAGCTGGTGTTTCGGGTACAGTACATCAAAAACATTCATTCTGTCAGCATATTAGTAGTTTAATGTGGTGAAAGAGGAAAGAATATGGACCTTTTAATTACAGACTCTAAACAGAAAGCAGTGTCATTGAGGCGCTTGTTCTGGGAACAGTCTGAGAGACATTTCAAACATGCTTTCATGGTTTCGAGAGTTTCAACATACGCAAAATGATGCAACAACCTTAATACTGACGTAGGAATATTACAACGTGCCACACTGAAATGCTCACAATGCAGAACTCAATGCATTTTAAGCAGCAAGAACTCTTTACAGAGCAGTGTTGTTTTATCATTTAGTTACTACTAGTTTTTATTAATATTTAGAATTAGTGTTTATTTTATTTCGAGTAATGAAAACGTTTTTTGATAGTTTTAGTTAGTTATAAGTTAATTAAGGGCGACATTGTGGGCCGAATGCACCCAAAAGCTGAATGCTGATTCCAGATCTGGTTTAGTTTCGGCAAGCAGCTTTTGGGGCGACCGCGGGCCGTAATTCAACCTCGATTCAGCTCAGAATCAATTTGCTATATCTGCATGGGAAGCGGACAGAAAACAAGACGACTGATGACTGAAATGCAGAAAGATTAAAAGAAAACAAAAAAGGTCAAATAAAAGATGTCCACCAACATCAGCACCAAAGTCTCCCCTATAATTTCCCGTATCGTATGTGACGTAATGCCGAGTGGGCGTGGCCTACAGGTGTGCCGAAACTTGGAGCAGTTTTAATGTTGACGAGACCGACAGTCACGTGACTTTCAACAATAGCCAGATTTAATGGGATCCTCCCACCAGAAGTTTCTACTGTCCTTATACTTTTTAAACACTCGAAACAAAAGTAATTAATTTCCAGAGGGGCTACTCTTTGAGTGTTTGTGATCTCTCAAATCTGCCATGCGAACTCCTGGGATTTTTATTTTCGGGATGGTGTTCGCGCCGTGCGGGTGGATTCTGGAGCTGGTCAGCACAGTGGCTCCAGGCTGGCGCACGATCAACAACATCCCCGGAGAATCCATCGATCTGGTCCTCCAGCAAGGATTATGGGACATCTGCAAGACTTACTCATCGTCCCGGGATATTCAGTGCAACCAGCCGGACACTCAGTACTTCGGCGCGCAGATCATCCAGATCGCGCGAGGCTTGATGCTGGCGTCACTCATCCTCAATGTCATCGCTTTCGGCGTGGCGTCGGTCGGAGTCCGGTGCTGGAGAGACACCCCGCACTGGACGGTCGCGGGCGTCGGAGGTGTCCTCATCTTCATCTCAGGGGTCCTCACCATCATCCCAGTGGCGTGGTACACTCACATGATGACCTCCATCTTCTCCACGTCCACCGACATTCGTGTGGGATACTGCCTGGTGCTGGGCTTCATCGGCGGGTGCATGGAGGTGCTCGGGGGTTTGGTGATGTCCATCGGGTTGTGTCGGCGCTGTGACGGACGGAAGCCGAGGACAGACACGCGCAGAATCCCGGTGCCCAGTGTTATCAGCGGGAGCAGTGTCCCGTACTACTCCAAACGCACTGAGATGGACCTCACACGAGCGAAGACGCAACAGGACCGTCGACCAGTGAACACGACGACTAAAGCACAACCTTACGACTCAGATTTGTAAAATACTAAACTTTTAAACCTTGTGAACGCAAGACCCTTACGACAAACACCACTGTAACCATCGATCGCTTCCGCGTGAAAATAGTTAGTAGATATAAAATAGTAGTTTGTCATTCAGATTGATCAAATCAGTCTTTCCAATCCCTGCTAAAAACAAAACAAAAAACACACAGCTAAATAGTTTTTTATTTTTATTGTCTGTTATGTTTTGTTACATTTTAGCTTTTTAGTTCACGTTGAACATTTTGTGTGTGGGCGCGTGGAAAGGCTTTTTTTGATTAACTATAAATCATCATGTGACCATCTGTTTTACCACCTGTATAATCATTGATGTTATCAGTGTAAGGTCATATCAACTGTGGCGGGAATCATGGTTACTATTATACATGTTGTTAAGGGAAGTGAGGTTTTGAGGTATATCGAAGAGCACTAACACCATCAGTTTGGTTTTATATTTTGCACTTTATAATGTAAAGCCCTTGTAATTTTATTGGCAGTACCTTCACTGTCTTATAGCACACTGGGCTCTAATGTGTAAATACAGTAACTTATCAGGAACCTCTTAAGTTTGCACAGTTATACCAACTGCAAAAAAGCAAACACATTCTTCTGAAGTAAGCTAATATTTGCACTGCACACGGTACAGAAGTGTATGTCTCCAGACATAACCATGTAAAATATCTTAGTGGAAGTTTTTTTTTTTTTTTTTCACAGTAATGTTGTAATTGACATCCATCCATCAATATTAATGCAAATGGTTGAAGGCTGTTTATTTCTCTGTATTTTTATTATGGTGATGATGAACACTGTCAAGAGCTGTGGCTCATACATTTACCTGCATGAATATAATAAATGAAGCTAAAAATTGCTCATTTGGAACAATGTCGGGTACAACTTCATGCGTCCTAATAATAAAAAGTATCCTCTTCTTGCATTTCCATTAATAATCTATTTTTAAACGTGATTACATTTAAAATTCCATTTTATGGAAGTCATAATTATGACACAACAGAAATTAAATAACATTAAGCCATTAATTTAGTATGTCTTATGACATTAAGTCATAATTATGAAAAACAATTATGAAATTATTATGACATTGAAATTCTGAAATACTTCATATGTAAAAAAAATGAGATAGCCGAAATTATGACTTTTTAAGTCAATTTGGACTTAGTATGTCTTCATTTCAACTTTCCATCTCATAAATATGACTTAATTATTGTGATTAACAAAAAAACTGTAAAGCAGTTGTTAAACAAACCCCATCATGAAACAGAAAATCTGGACAAAATGTATTTAATGCATAAAAATTAAAGTTATTTGGCCAAAAGAAATGAATTAATGAACTATATTAAGTTACAGCATGTAAAACAACAAGAATAAGAAGGCATATGAATACACTGAAATTTTTTTTTCATTCATCCAATTAAACAAATTTAGGGTAATGGTTCACATCTATATTTTATAACTTGAGCCAGTGAAAAAATATATAACTTTTCCTAATGTGTGTATATCTATTACATGAGAATATGTGGTAACCATTATGGTGCTCAGTGTTTCCTTTAGTTGGGCAGTTTGTGGTCTTTATAACAGTGTATAGATACAAATGTGAAACATCTAATATGAAAACATCTATTTTAAGACCATTTTGTACTGATTGAAAACTGATTGATCGAAACCAACACAGAACCAACAAATGTTTATGCAGATGAACTTCTGACCTGAAACCTCACTGTTACTCAGTGAGTAAATAACCACTGTAAACAGCTTTTCTCTGTGACAACTTGCTCCAGTCAACCCTATTTATCCCCTAGCCCTTGCATACTGGTATTCCAGGTATTAACTGAAAAATGGCATGCAGTAAAAACCAGTTTTGTCTGAGTTTAAACCAGGCATTCGACGCCACGCCCTTCAGATGCTAATCACAGAGAACCACCTCCTTCAGGTTTCAGTGCGTTTCTTCTTAAGCACCAGAGACGCTAGACTCGCTTTAGACGGGGACGGCTGCTCAACCCTCAACCATGCGTACACCAGGGATCTTGATATTCGGCATGGTCCTGGCCCCCTGCGGATGGATCCTAGACCTGACCAGCACGGTTGCACCCAACTGGCGCACCATCAACAACCTGGCCGGCCAATCTGTGGATCTGGTGGTGGAGCAAGGAATCTGGGACATCTGCAATACCTTCACAACGTCTAGATCGCAACTGTGCAACCAACGCACCAATGACCAAACGTACTTCAACAACCAGATCATTCCGATCGCTCAAGGAATGATGATCGCGTCGTTGATCGTGACCATCCTTGGCCTAGCGGTGGCGACGCCTGGAGTCAGATGCTGGAGGGACAGACCTAGATGGATCCTGGCTAGTATCGGCGGGCTCCTCATCTTCTGCTCCGGAGTCCTGACCATTATTCCTATTGCGTGGTACACTCATCTTCTCAACAGCCTCAACTCCACCTCGGTCAAGAGAGACCCATTGAGAGCGGATGACATTCGTGTGGGATACTGCATCATTTTGGGCTTCATCGGAGGCATCATGGAGGTCCTCGGCGGATTGGTGATGTTCGTCGGGATCTGCTCCTGCTGCGGTGGACGGAACCGCGGAGAAAAGCCTGCAATCAACACAGGAAGACCAGCGACCAGAACAGCGACCAGGCTAGCGGACAGACCAACGCCTCTGCCCAGGGTCAACATACCGAGAAGCTACACCAGTGAAAGCAGTGTACCGTACTCGCAGAAGTCACTGGACGACGACCTGGACTTCCCGAGAGCCAAACCCCGGGACAGGGGGATCGTCAACACATCCTACAGCGGAAGACCATACGATGCTGATCTGTAAAATGACTATCGCATACTGTGAATATTAGATTACCACTTGTGAACGCCGTGCTAGCTGTCTACAACTGGAGTGTACACTTGTTACACCAGTACTTTTGAATGTTTACAACAGAAAGCGATCGTGCTTTTGCCAGTTGCACTCTCAGGTTAAGTAACATGAGGACTTTAATTTTAGACTTGTAAATAGCCAAAAATGTAACTTCCAGTCGAAGGTTTGTAATACGGCTTAAAATCTACTCATGCATCTTAATCTAGCCTAATGATATTATCACATTAATACTGAAGGATTTAAGAAAAATGAATTGTGCAATATTTTTTTCTTTTGCTGCTGGAAAAAGTTTTCTGTTCAGGGTTTTCTGTGATGCAGTATAACTAGTAATACTGGTTGTTTGAGTTTGATCCTTACTGCAAGCATGTGGGTCATGTCTGAACTGTAATATAATAAGTGTTACGGTTTAATGAAGGGCAGAAAGCAGATAACTTACATTCTTCAGTCTGGAAGCATCAAAAAAAAAACTTACCTGTTACACAAATGACAACAATAAATGAATGAAGCTCATTAATCATGAACTGTAAAAACAGATACTTATAAGAGCAACAAGGTGTAAATGAGGTTAAATGGTAATAAAACCATCCAGATAAAGGAAGTAGAGTTTTAATGTGACTTTATTTTGCTGTAACTCATCAGATCATGTCATATTTCCACTCCTCGGGGTTCAAGGTTTGTGTGCTTTCTAACAGCAATAAAACATATTTTAAATCTCTTTGTAACCTTTTTTTTTTTGTATTAAAGTACTATTTATTTAAAACAAATAGTGTTGTCCATTTGTATCGATAACCACTATTATTCAAATGACCACCTAAAGAAATTAATATCAATATGGCTACACCTTTTAACACTGGTTTAAAAAGAATAACTACAATAGTATATTGTAGATGTTATACTATAATAAGAATGCTAATGATAGTATACTTTGGACTTTTGTAAAACCAAAACTTATACACAAAAAAGCACTTGCTATAGAAATATATGGAGCTAACTTTGTAATTTATCCAACTAAATATAAAATTAAACAAACTTGATGTTTATTTTTGCATGCATTGATAACAGATGGAAACAAACTAAAGTATATAGCAAACTAAATGTATTCAGATTATTAAAGATGTAAAATGTCAAATGGAAAATACCTTCTATTTCATGTGGAAACATAATGATATATATATATAATATTAGCAAATATTGTTGAAGTGCATTGGATCAATCTTTCAGTTTGCCTGAAATACAAACAGTCATAATTATACAAACAAAAAAATATTTATTATAAAATACTGTACAAAAAGGGTTTCATGCAGAGCTGTTGTGTAACTACAAAAGTAAAATTAAATACAACTAAGACCCATAGAAATTGTGGTGCCTGTTTTCCATAAATGTCTGAAAGAGATACACATCAGTCCATGATACTAATCAGCTTTCAGTCAGTGAAACTCACCGGACAGGCCAGAGCTAAATATAACCGCACTGGAATACCTGGTGTGTTTTACAAACAAGTCAATGCATGTTTAACAGGAACGCCAGTCCAAACTATCCATGTTTAGAAATCATCTAAATGTGTTGCACATGCAATAGTTTTCATTTAAATGTGGAGTGCATGCAGAGCTACTTAAATACCTGCAAATGTACACCAATAACATATGAATATATTCATGCACATCTCAGTGCGAGGAACGTGTCATGGTGGAAAGCTGATGTGTTTGACGTACAAGTGCTTTATGCGTTGATTGTACTGTTTGAAGAGGGAAACAAAGAGAGAGAAACGGTGTGAGTTTACTTTTGTGACAGAGTTCATCTGGGTCATTGTCTGTGATGTAGAATGAAAGACAAACCTGTTTTATGGCACGCTACATTAAGACATGTTAAATATGCGCTCCATTTCTCATCAGGGATTCTTCAGCGGCCTTTTTTCTGTTGACAGAGGTAAAATCAGTTTACAGACTTCATGAATGCTTTAAAAGGTTGGTCTCTTTTTAAAGAAGACACTCGGCAGATTAAAATAGAAAATAACGTGCACTCTAAAACGGCTATAAATTCAAAGCCGCGTGTCTAATCAAGTTGTGTCCCAAATTCAAACTTGATATAACAAAAACTGAGGTTCCTGTGAGATTTTGTTTAGGCGCTGTACCAAAAATAGCCACCAAGTGACAACCACAATCTATTGAATTTGGTGCGTTCTCTTCTATCGAGTGCCAAATATAGAAACCTTGAGTCTCACGATATGCGTTTCATCAAAGATTTGATTATTACAGTGCAGTACATTTTAGAAACATGACATCGCCTGCTAGGGGGAGGAGCCAGATGAAAGGTTTTAAAGTCCCCCTGATGTCAATCATTTTATCCCAATTTAAGCATTTTTTCATGCCTTAAAATATCTTGAATGTAACTCGACACCCTTGCCTCATTTAGCATATGCGGTTCTATGAATATGGAAATGAGCCCCGCCTCCACTCACTCACTCAGCTCAGAGATCCACTGGTTGACGATCACACGTTGATCTGATTGGTTACAAGGTAGTGTGTGACGTCAGAAACACCAGCGATTTCAAACCGTGTTTTTGAGACTGTCTTTGGTTCTCTGCAGTTTGAGTGCAAAACACTCAGCAATAGTGCTGACTTATGCTTTAAGACAAACCATGTGTAAATTCATATTAAAAACACCACATAGAAAAATAAACAAGATTATTTTCACCAAAGGGGAACTTTAAAGTCAAAATTCAAAACGCTTTTCAGTGTTTTGATTATTTAAGCTTCCGAAATCGAATGATACCTAATTTATGATGATTCCTTAAAGCTGCAGTAGGGAGTTTTGAGAAAACGTTGACTTAGCCTAAAAATTTGAACAAGCACAACTTACAGGTCCCACCCCCTTGCTCTCTGCTGCGCTACAGCCCTCCCTCCACAGCTCGTCCTCCACAGCGGAGCCTGTCGTGAACGCACAGGCTAGTAAACAGGGCCACCGATAACAGCGGATAAAAAGTTATATGGCACATTCACTAATAGGTACTAAATGTCAATAATATGCTTTACATTGACTATGGCCTGCCCATACTTTGACTACAAACTTGGTCCTCAAATCATTATGTATTTTGTAATACATGTAACGTTGCACTCTTTCTATAAGTTATAAATAGCTAGTAAGATTACGTTAATATAACGGTAACTAACGTTACAGTATGTAAGTAATTATTCTAGCGATATATAATGCTAGATAAGGTGTGCTAGTACATTATTTCAGCAACATGACAAGCCAGTGAATTAGCAGGTTTCAATTGTTGCTTAGCAGAGTGCGTGACATTTTATCTACATGTTATGCGGCTAGAGTTTTGACACCGAGTCAATGGGCTCTGTGTAATTCTTTCTTTTTCGCTTGTTTATCGTCATCAGTCTTTTTCCTTTTACCTCTTTGTTTTATGAGCAGGTGTCACTCCAGAATTGGCAGTTTAGGTTGTTTCTCCGTCATAAGCACAGCTGCAGCTCGCCGGCAATCTTGAGTTTGAATGACGGCTCGCGCTCCGGCGCTCGCGCTGTGCAAGAGAGGGGTGTGATCAGCGCGTACACGAGCGTGATTGACACTGCTATGACACTCCTCTCGGCTCTGATTGTTTCTGACCGGGAGCGTGTATTTCTTGCAAATGGCAATAGGACCACTGGGAGGAGCCAGAGGAGCTTGATTTTTACACAGATTATCTGTCTCATATTCTACTGTCAGGACATAATGACAGTTTTAGCAAATAAATTTTTTCAAAAGTTACCTACAGCAGCTTTAAATATTTATATAAGCGCACAATAAATAAATAAATAAGAGCACAAAGTGAACAGGTTAATACACGTGCCGAGTTCTTAGAAAATATACATTTCTCTTTGTATTCATGTTGGATTTATACTATATATAGTAAGGCTGGGCGTTATGACGGTATATACTATCGTGACCACGGTATAAAGTGTCCATCGCTAGAGTTTCCTATATCATTAATTTCGCGGTATGAAAATATATCCGCGTAGCACAGTACTACTTAAAGTTAAAAACCCGTGAGAGTAAAGAGAGGGATGTGCTTGATGACACATAGCTGAGAAACCACCTCTCAAGACCGCACGCGGCCGTCAATTCAGTTCTCTTTCATGTCTTATTGCGCTTGAATGGTCAGATAGATGTACGATAATGTCAAAATGCCTGTCGTCTGAATTATTCACATAAAAATAGTCGGTTATGTCTTAAATTACCGTAAACAGTTCTGTGAAAACCAGATGCGTGTCAGTAAATTGGATCAGTGCATTCGGTCTTAAAGGGACAGCAGCATAATAAACTGGTGTCTGTCGCAATGTTAATCAAACAACAAAAGACAAACAGAAAATCACTCACTGATCTTGACTGAATCACTTTTGTATCTTTGATAAGAATCAGTTCATATTTGATTCATACAGTGAAGACTATGCCGTGTTTTAGTTATACACTATTCAATTTCTGTAGTATTTCTTGGTACGTTAAATAAACCTACTGTAGTTAAAAAACGTAAAGTTTATTTAATTTGTATCTTTGTTCTATTGCATTTGTCCTATTGTTTGTAATTTGCTGCTTTGTTCTTATTTTTAATAAGAAAATAAAAATAAAAATATAATTTCTCTCACCGTGAAATAAGATTTTGGTCATATTGCCCACCCCTACTGTATAGTATATATTTAAAAACCTTTATAACATTTCATTTCACTGTACTGTAAATGTGTTGTAACCATTAAAATCATTTTCAAGAAGTTTTTAAATATATTTTCTAAGGGTAAAATGATTTATTCATTCATAAAGTTTTTGAGGAGTTGGAACACATGGCATTTTACCAAACGAACTAACCTTACAATTACTCTTAAAAATAAAGGTTCTTTATTGGCATTGATGGTTCCATGTAGAACCTTTAACGTCCATAGAACATTTCCATTCCACAAAAAGTTCTTTAGATGATTAAATTGTTATTTTAAGAACTGTTCGCTGGAAGGTTCTTTGGGGAATCAAAAATGGTTATTCTACAGCATTGCTGCAAACCCCCCAAAACCTTCTGAAATCTTTACTTTAAGAGTGTGGTCATAAAAAGTTCCAATTATAGAAGGTCTGCAGGGCTTGAATAAATTAATAAAAAATAATAATGAATAACCAGAAATAGAAAGAAATCTAGGCAAAGTCTCACCTCTTCTTTGCCTTTTGCCTTTGTCGGAAAAATGCCATCCCAAAGAACAGGACGATGAAGCCGACGATGACCACCAGGACGCCGACGGTGAGTGGAACAGACAGAGCCTCATTGATGGTTTCGTCACAGGAGTCTCCCGTGTATCCCAGCGTACACTCACAGCCGGGCTCCCCGTTGGCCAGCACACATCTACCATACTGGCATATGACATGTTCACATGCAACCAGAAGACGAGACACGCCACCTTCTTCATCCAGAGGACTGGTGGACGGGGCAGACATACCCAAGCTCTGGAGTCAAACACACACAAACTGCTGCATAAATTGGGTTCGAGAACACAGACACACCCCTCAAAATCTCTTAGTGGCAACAAGGTTGTGGACAGTGGGGTAAGATGTGCCACCTCCTACAAAACTTCTAGTGTTTCTCAAATCCAACACCCGGGACTAACCTTGCAGATGCCTTCCTATATTACAACCCACAAAGAAGCTGACGAGTTGAATCATACGTTTTTATTGAAATATGTATGTAGGTGGGTCTCCAGGGCTGGAGTTGAGAAACATTGCTCTAGGCAACTACGCCCAGTTGTTTTTCAGGATCTGTCTAATCCGGGGATTGGCAACCTAGGTCCTGGAGAGTTTAGCTCCAACCCTGAAAAACCCTCACCTGCTTGTTGTAGCCTTAGTAATCCATTGATTAGCCTGAAGATATTGATTAGAGTTGGAGCTAAACTCTGCAGGACAGCGGCACCCAAGGACTGACGTCGTCTATCCCTGCTCTAATCGAATGTAATCAGAAGAAAGCAGCAATATCACAAGCCCAAAGAAATATCATTTCTCAAAAAGGTGTGCCGCGACACATCTTACCCCACTATATGGGTAACGGATAGGTTGAATTAACGGAGAGGACATAATGAAAAAATACTTCTAAAAGATTTCTTATTAATGATCATAAATACTACTGAAAGTGGACTGTGAATTAAATTTCTAACACCAATCCTAAAAGGATCAAACAATTAAACAGATTATATGTGGAATTGCATTTTTTTACGTTCAAACAGGACGATCTTATTCAATTCTTATTTGAGCCTTTCTTTTCTGATAAAAAAAAAAACTAACTAAATTAATTCTTTAGAAATAGACAAAGTAAAATATTTATCTCAGTGTAAACTTGACCACTACCAGGAAGCAAATGTATATAGCATTTTTAGGCAAATTCTCCAAGCAAATGAACATATGAAGACATCTGAAACACACTACCTTATCAAACAGTTAAGTGTCAATGGAAACATTCAGAAAGCGCGTTATAGACAAAATAACTATACAGGGAGTGTCCAGATAGCCTACTCACCACTTCCCAAGTCAAAGGTGGAAAACACAAGCAAACCCCTAGGTGTTTAACTGTATACAATCGTGGAAGAGAAACCAGTGACGGAAATGTCTTTAGAGGAGCTGAACGGCTTGACACGAGAAGAATAAAGCAATGCTCCCAAGCAGAAAAGAAAGACCCACCCATTCACACATCACCTGGTTAACTCGGTGAAACAAGATTCCTGTTTGGTCGCCTACCATGTGGGCAAGGAGGAGTGAACTTCAGGTCAAAATAAGGGCCAGAGATGAAGATAACAGTGCAGTAACAGTCTGACAACATTTAAATCAGTGTTGTACGGTTGTACCATGCGGGCGCTGACACCCTATAAACAATCACATATTTCCGGCGGCGGCGCGCGTCTCACTCACATTGCGATCCACAGCGCCTCTTAAGGTCACGTGAGGACAACTGCCAAAATCTGATTTAATTCGTATTTTAGTGCAGATATGTTTTATGGCTAAATAAAATTAAGTCAAACGATAGCTTTATGCGAGAAAGAGACCGAAAATCAACTCACGGAGTCTATAAATCATTCCAAATGTTTTTGCAATTTAAGATTCAAAGAAAGATAACTGAAGTCAAAACGTTATAATAATCTTAAAAATGTTATATGAAAATGAACTCGGATTTTGTTGTTGGTGCCTACAATACTGCTGCAGCAGTATCTCAAAACGTGTTACTATTTCTCTGGAATAATGTAGGCTAAAATGTAGAAATGAATTCATTGATTTTACTCGGCTGGTGTCCAGTAGTAGCCTAGGCCTATACTGCCCGAATCATTCAGTAGAGCCGATTCAAAGAATCAGGTTGTGTTCGAGTCGCAAAAAAGAAAAAAAAAAAAACACTTAAAAAAATAAGATTCTTGTAAACAAATAGTATTGAGTATTTGCTGTACTTTTTATTGGGTTCTTTGCTTTATGCGAATGATTTAATAGTTCTTTATTTTTTTTAAATCTCCATTATAAACCAACAGTAACTTAAAGGGTTAGTCCACCCAAAAATGAAAATTATGTCATTAACGACTCCCTCTCATGTCGTTCCAAGCCCATAAGACCTCCGTTCATCTTCGGAACACAGTTTAAGATATTTTAGATTTAGTCCGAGAGCTTTCTGTCCCTCCGTTGAAAATGTACACTGTATACTGTCCTTGTCCAGAAAGGAAATAAAGACATCAAAGTAGTCCATGTGACATCAGTGGGTTAGTTAGAATGTATTGAAGCATCGAAAATACATTTTGGTCCAAAAATAACAAAAACTACGACTTTATTCAGCATCGTATTGTCTTCCGGTTCTGTTGTCAATCCGCTTCAGTGACGCTGCTGACGTGTATCTGGTGCGTCCGTGTATTCGGGTTCAAATATATATGGCTGGCCAAAAAAAGTTCAAGTCTTCCTCTGTGTCGAAATCCTTAGACATGTTTGCAAAGATTGTTTTGTTTATAGCGTGCGTCTCCCTCAGACTGAACGAAGCTCGGGCGCACCAGACACACGTCAGCAGCGTCTTACGTCAGCACTGAACGCGGATCCACAACAGAACCGGAAGACAATACAATGCTGAATACATTTATTATTTTTGGAACAAAATGTATTTTCGATGCCTCAAAACATTCTAACTAACCCACTGATGTCACATGGACTACTTCGATGATGTCTTTATTTCCTTTCTGGACAAGGACAGTATACCGTACATACATTTTCAATGGAGGGACAGAAAGCTCTCGGACTAAATCTAAAATATCTTAAACCGTTCCGGAAATCTTACGGGCTTGGGACAACATGAGGGCGAGATCATTTTTATTTTTGGGTGAACACTTTAAATTTGTGTGGAAAAGCTCAACTCTTAATAAATAACCTGAACTGTTGAGATGAGCATTTTATATCATGGAGGCCTGTATGGAATTCCACAGAAAATACACAATTTCATGCAGAATTTAAACACCCATTAATCAACAATTTAGCATATCATATCACATAATGAGCTAATCTTATGTGGACCAACAAGTGAAAAAGCAAACAAAAACCACAAAACAAGTGGAGATTTTTTGCTGGGAAAACACAGCTTTGACGTCAAAACAGAGAGCCCTTAGTCCCGATTCACACTGGAGAGCCTCTTGTTCAGATACTGGCTCATGTTTCGGTGAGGGCGATGGGGTGGAGTAACAGAGTATTGAAAGTAGGCCTGGTTTTGCATAGCCAAACAAGCCTTTTGTGTTGTGCATAGAAGCAGACAGAAGTGACTCAAGCCCAAGGAGGAACACCATTTATAAAAAGGCAACTCAAATAACCATTCAATAAAGCCATCAAAGCTTTGAGCGAGAGCTATAGGAAAATACACACCCACAAAATAAGGGTATATTACAACTATGTGAGGCACTCCCATATTGAGCAAAGAACAGCAGATCAACTTATTGCCAAACATCTGCTTCTTACATTTAAAAGTAGTTTCAAGTTAGAAACATTTAAAAGTAGTTTCAAGTTAGAAATAATGCAAAGACGTTAAAAAAACTAGACTCTGTTTCCCCGCCCCCATTGCATTTCAGTTCTGGGATTAAGCTTGTGTTGTTTCTTTCTAAGTGCTGTGTAAATATTTCACCTGCAGTTTGACATCAGTTCCAAGTTTATATACAGTACGTCACAGGCACTTTTCTTGACATTAGACTTTACAATGATTTACACTACAGCCCTTTTTCATTGGAATAAGAAAGTAAACCACACCCAATTTCTTGCAAAGTCAATAGTTTTATTAGACATTTAAAAAAAGACACAGAAAAAAGTTAGCTGACAACTGGAGTAATCGCAGCCTACAGGAAAGAGGGGGAAGGAAAGTCATAGGATTAATTTCTGAATCAACTTAGAGTATTTTTCAAATTCTACATTTGTTTACTCAGCCTTATGTCATTCCAAACCTCTATGACTACTTTTTTGCAGAACACAATTATAACTTTAGCAGAATGTCCAGGCTGCTCTTCTCTACAGAGCGCAGGAAGTCACATGTAGGAGAAGAAAAAACAAAAACAAGACCCACAAATCTGTGGCCAGTTTTTGTAATTTGCAGGTCTTTGTTTCTCCTTCAGGCGACTTCCCGGCCTCCATACAATAAAAGTAAAGAATGAAAGTCAAATTTTGGTCTGTCTTTTTTCTGTCTCTCTTTGTCTAAGTCTTCTGAACCCATTCAATATTCTGTCTGTCTTCCTTTCTGTTTGTCTTAGTCAAATTTTGATCTTGGCAGTCTTTGATCCAAGAAGAACCGTTTCATATTTCCACAAATTCCATAGATCCACAAATATAAATTGTGCAAATAAATATTATAATATTTACTTAAATTCACGGACAATTATTACTCCATACTAGTCACTATTGTTGTATGTAAAACAGTGCTGCAAGCATTCTTCAAAACTCCTTTTGTGCTCAAGAAGATTGTCAGATTAGTAAAAAACGAAGCCTGATGGTACCTCTTCTGGATCATACAACTCATTATCAAAGTTTTGAGAGTAGGTTATGTCCTCCTTCACGTCAGTAGGCACCAGCGTCTCTTTTTCAGTAGCCTCTTCCCTTGCTGCGTGCATCCTTCTGCAAATAAAATCACATTGGGGTAGTATGAAATCCAAGTATGTGGCTGAGAAGAGATGCATGTATGATATTAAAAGTGTGAACCTCCTCCTGAGGATGACGGCGGCCAGCAGAGCTCCGCCGAAGAGAAAGCTGAGCGAGAGCGCGAGGCCAGTGGAGCTGGAGTTAGTGTTCTGACAGAGATCCCCGCTGTAGCCCTCCTCACACTCACACACCGGCTCTCCCTTCACGCTCACACACTTCCCGTGACTCCCGCATCGCTCCTCGCACGACAGACCGCCCAGATCCTGCTCCACACCCTCGTCGTCTCGAGACGGAGACTGTCCCACAGCAGAGTCCAGAGAGAAAGGTCCAGATTTGGATTTGAGACCTGGTTTGGTTTTCACGAGGTCACCTGTCAACAAGCAGGAGATCATTTAGGCAAGACAGTCTGGTTTGTGTGAGTTTTGAACATTAATACCAGGTTAAAGATCATTCATGTTAAAATGCGGTACTACAAGATGACAAAAATGCCCACTAAAATATAATGTGCCCCTATTATGCTTATTCAAATATTCTCTCTCATGTAGTGTTACACAGCCTTCTGTGAATGTAAACGGTCTGTAAAGTTGAAAGTGCACAATAAATAAAGTTATTATCGTCATGCGATTCCGGTCTATCTTCAGTGACCTGCATATGTAACGGTGACACATTGGCATAATGGCGGCCTATGGTCTTAATTGGCTGCCTGTGACCTACGTCTACTTTGATCCTCAAACTGAAGCTGGTTTGTGTACATGTTGAGAAGACTCTAGTCATTTTAACCACTGCTTTTGCAAAGGATGAAGATGTGAAGAGTCAAATTCTCTTTCCACAGCTGTACAATAGCAGTATAATCTTTTGACGATTGATTCTGAAATCTCTGTATGGTCTAAATGAGATTTACAAAACGCTTATCCATTAAAGATGGGACAGTACCCACTTTATTTGGACCAACTTGCTCCTCAGAATCACAACTTGGAAGTATGAAATACTATTGATGCATGTATCGATGTACTTTCTACCGGGTGTTCAATAGTTTTATATTGTGCAAGTTTCCGGCTAACGGGAATTATTTCCTCCTGAACTACTTCTGCTAATCAGCTGTGGGCCTCGATTACATAAGACTGTCTATTAATGCAGATTGTCTGTCGTTCTCACTACTTTGATGCATATTAAAGTCTTGCTCCATCCTTTCTTTACTCAGTGATTCGCATTCGTTCTCAGCTAACTGATGTACTACTGTTAATACAGTTCCCGTATGTGCACCGCAGTAAATGATTAATATCAGTAATATCTTATTTGAAAGCAATTAGATGACGATATATATATATATATATATATATGATGTCGTTTAGAATAACTAATCACTCACAGTCCTCATCCGATCGGTCCTGGCAGTCTGGGACCTGGTCGCAGAACTTGGACACAGGGACACACTTGAGGCCGTCCCGGCAGGCTTTACTGCCAACAGGGCACTTGAGGTTGGAAAGACATTGAGTCTTGTTCACAGAAAGGAAGTCCTGCGCACAGCGACACGAGCGTCCACCGGGATAGGGCAGGCACAGGTGACTGCAGCCCCCATTGCTCTCAGAGCACACATTGGTTCCTGGTGGGTTGAAAAGACAAAACCAGAGGTCACATGACTGACTTTAGGGAGGGTTACCACTCATACGGTACTGTAGTGTTCAGACTGAAACACTGGCGGACTTACTGAAAATAAAGGTAAAATAAATATGCATTTATTTATCTTGTTTATAAATAATAAATTAAAAGATAGAGATGAAACTAAATAAATTAAAATAATAAAAGAAAATAAAGACAAAGTTATACAAAAATCTAAATGTATAGATAGTGTTCATAAATAAGGAAAAAATAGGAAAATAAGGAAAAATAAATCTAATATAAATAAAAATAATTTAAAGACAGTAAAAAAACAAATATAAAAGATAAAAATGATGAAAATAAGGAAAAATAAATCTAATATAAATAAAAATAATTTAAAGACAGTAAAAAAACAAATATAAAAGATAAAAATGATAAAATGATACTAGAGGTTTAATAAAAAATAAATCCACCTTTGTCAGATTAAGATTTTTTTTAAACTATTTGTCAATGCACTCAATTTGGCCTTGCATTTCCAGTGTGGGGAATAAACCATAGTGATAAAGTACTAAGCACAGTGTGTTCTGTTGTATAGTGTGCATTTTGGCAAAATGTGTTGGCTTATTAAGGCATTTCAAGTATACAGAAAATGCAGCTCTTCCTATTATTGTACATGGTATGTAAATGTATACTGCTTACACGTCATTCTGAACAGAGTGAGTGTGCACTTCGGTACTTCAGTGAGAACTCTAGATGTGTCTATTGTGTGGTGAAGCTCCCTGAACACACGCGACACACCCCTCTCACACACAGACCGGAGAATACCTTTCTGACTGGACCTGCTGAAAGCCTTCAACTCTAGAACGCTCGTCTTCACCTCAAACCACATCTGCTTGGGCTGGAAGCCATCGCTGTACCACACTCGAGTTGTACCTGTTTCAAGAAGCACAAACTTTGACAGCTGGCCTTTGCATTAATGCACTGTTAAACAAAAAATCAAAATGTTAATGCACATGAAATGTGTTAGAATAATGCAATGTCTTAATTTCCTGAAATACATTTGTTTTGAAAGCTTTTTGAAACAAATACTGATATTTATAAGAGTTTGATTTATCAACATATGGAATTTGACTACCGTCCTAGAGTTACAAAGAGTTATAAATGAATTAATTGTAGTTTATGAAGTAAAATTCATAGAGAAAGAGTTATAAACTCTACAAGTTTTATTTGAGACTTGGTTACAGAAGCCTTGAAGTGCTGTATTTTAATAAATATATTTTATATTAAAGATCTATCTTTTGTATATTTTAGGAGTAAAGACAGGAAGTTAATGGCTTCATGCCATCTAGTGGCACCGACACAGAAGTGCATACTCTGGAAACTGGATTTCTGGAAGTCTTGAATTGTTACCGTTCTCCAGGGTGATCCAGAAGTTGATGTTCTCGATACGGGCAAAAGAGATCATGAAGGCAGGTCCGGTGCTGTACTGCTTATAACCGGAGCCGTCTATATTAATAGAGCTAATCAGTTCACTGCCTGGAAAACAAAATCAGCTGCCATTATTGATTGCTTTGGAAAAGCCACAGCACAAAGTAAGCCATTCAATTCTTGTTCAAACAAACATTTGTTTTCTACTTGTGGAAAGTGACTTTATTTAGAAGTGCGCAAGCAGATTGTATCCTAAACTGTAGCTTCAGCCTAAATTAAGATGGAGCTAGCTAATGTTGGTTTGTAGTCATAACTTTTCTTTGTTGTTTTGGGAAATACAAGTTTGTTTAGTAGTTGTAATTACAATAATTGTATTTCCTAAATTAAAATATATTAATACTCAAGTTTAACAAAAACTTTTATAAATTATTATTAAAATTAAATTATATATAAATGTTATTATTAATTTAAATGATATATATATATATATATATATATATATATATATATATATATATATATATATATATATATATATATATATATATATATATATATATATATATATATATATATACACACACATAATACAATTTATAATAAAATGTGTGTGTATTACATTTAATATATATATATATATATATATATATATATATATTAAGGTATAGTTTATGTATAATGTATATATATATAAATAAAAATAAATATTACACAGTATTTACAGAAATCCTGATTTTTAGGTGAGACCTTCATGAAGGATAAATTCTTCTCACTGAAGATAAATAAAATAAGTTTATATAACTTGGTCAGTAGTTATATAAAATAAAATTGTTATAACTTGGACACACGTTTCATTTGAGACTTGCCCATAAAAGATATGTCTCTGTACCCTATTTGTGGAAAGGGAAACGCACCAATATCTGCCCAATACAGTGATGTTCCCTTCTCAGAAAACGCGAGTGAAGCGGGCATCTTGGCTTTGCTCCACAGCAGCGTGCGGTTCCTCCCGTCCATGTGAGCGCAGTGGACCTGAGGCATGGGCTCGGGCCCCCCCCGCCCCACTGCGGTGAAGCACAGCCGGCCTGAGGGAGGGTGCAGGGCGATGGAGATGGTTCCCTCCAGCTCCGCCTGCAGCACCAGGGCGGTGAACTTCCCTCCAGGGGACGTGACGTACAGCTGCGGGCTCTTGACGCTGCTCCAGTACAGGTTACGGGTGACCCAGTCCACAGCCAGAGCGGTCACCAGGTCCCCTTTGAGCTGCAGCACGGGGCCGATCGGTGTGAAGCCAGAGCTGCCGAGTTTGAGCTGAGCCACTGAGCCCTGTCCCGCGTCAGCTAGGGAGATCGTGCGGTCTCTGAGGAGCAGGTCGAAGTCTGAAGCCTCCTTCACGCCAGGGAGAGTCAGGTTACGGTGCTCGGGCCAGGTCTTCAGCCCAACCTCTCCTTGAAGGCTCCTGGTGAAGATCTGAGCAGAAGAGGAGAGGTCAGGGAATTAAGGGCTCAATATTCCTCAAAGGAGCACTGAAGGTTCAGTAATAAAAAAATAAAAACCTATGGCAAAAAGCCTCATTCCATATATTTATTACATTTATATAACGTTTTATATTTATGAATGTATATTTTATACATTAACGTATATTAGAATTAAATTATAATTCTATCCTAATGCATCAAATATAGTATAATACATATTTGAATTCTAATAGGATTTGAATTCTAATAGGATATAATTTCATATATTCTAAATTAGTTATTTAATTCTAAATTAATTATAATTGTTTAGAATCAAATAATTGTTTAGAATCAAATTATAATAAATATTTAAAACTAGTTATTTAATTCTAAATTAATTATAATTGTTTAGAATCAAATAATTGTTTAGAATCAAATTATAATAAATATTTAAAACTATCTATTTATTATTATAGCTATTTGGCTGTTGGTTAACACTGCACAATTCATCGGTTCATCAATTTGTTAATTTGACAATGCACATTAAACTAAAGGCAAATTTTGATTTCATGTTGACTTAAAAACCTAATTACAGAATACGCTATAATTTAGTTGGTTATCAGGTTGGTCCACCACAACCTGTCCTGGCGACAAACTATTGTGTCTCACAAGCCATTCAGTCGTTCTCAAGCGGAGTACCTGTGTGATCATGGTAGGTGACAGTAGCATAAGAAAAGAGGAGGAAGAATCGACAAGTGGGGCGCAAGTGACTCCGTCCACGGCCAACAGAAGTCCTGCCGGGCAGCGACACACCGCTTTGAGCGCCGCAGCCAGCAAGCACATGTGGGAGCACTTCAGCTTCTTACAGGGGTTGGACACGTTGGGCTGCAAGAGAGGGTGGACAACCTACACCAAGACAGACAGAGGAGACACTCATCAGTAATGCAACGATATATTGATATGCAAGACAACTATACATACTGTAGACGTGTAATATCATCATTCTCACTTTGAGGCCGAAAGGCTGTCCGGGTCTCTTGAGAAAAACTTTGCGGTTCTTGCCAGTCAGTTTATTGGCACCTTGAATGGATCTTCTACGAGTGTCAGACCAGTAGACCATGTCATTAAACACCGCCACAGAGAAAGGACTGGGCATCTCAGACAGCTGTAGCAACTGCAAAAAAAAAAAAAAAAAGAGATGAACAATTGTTTTTTTCACTTTACAAGCGTGTAATGTTGCTGTTTGTGCATGAAAAAGGTCTTAAAGCACTAAGTCCCTCAAGCACGAGTTATTCTCTATATCAAGTGTCACTGTTTCTGAACTCCCTGAAACATCCCAGTTCCTGGAAGAAAACTCAAGACTACAATGAACACCACAATATTCCTCATTTAAATAATTCCCGCCCAAGGCATAAAGGGACGAGGCCTGGTTGAGGTAGTGTGTTGAAACTAGCGGTTATGTAAGAGGCGGGACATTTCCCAAACATGCTCGAACAATCACAACACACTAGACCAGCCAACCAATCAGAGCACACTGTCTCTGTTCAGTGTTACTGACAGACTGGAAAGTGAGGTGCTGCAACAATGGAGAATGTGAAAAATAAGGTGTTTTTAACATTCAAGCATGAAAACCTATTCTAGTAGAGCTGAAAAACAGTGTGCCATCATATTTTACCTGCCCATTTGCGGCAGAGTAAACATGTTACACTTCAAATTACCCTTATGTTTTCTCCATCCAATGTCGCTGAGCCTATACATCCGAGCTTCTCGTCAGTCCAATATAGTCGGTCCGTCAAAACGTCCAGCGTCACACTGACAGGCCAGCTGAGACCGCGGCTGATCACCACCCTCCTGTCCGAGCCGTCCATGCTAGAGCGTTCGATCTGTGCGGGACCTCCGATCTCAGACCAGAACATTATCCTAAAAGCAACGGCCGGAGACATTATGCATCCATACAGATGAACAATCATGTAATAGCGCCAACTTGTGGAGGCACTTCTCACCCTTTCTGCGGCAGCAGCGCAAGCGAGCGGGGCTGCTCCAAATCCTTATCCAGAATTACAATGTAGTTTTGGGGCTTTACAATGCTGCTGGTCAATCTCACAGCTAGAATCTGCCCAGCAACACCATCCACCCAGTAAAGGTTCCTTCCCATCCAGTCAATAGCAATGGAGTCTGACTTCACACCTGAACATGTAAAAAAAATAATCAAAATCTTGCAAGTTGAAAATCTTGGACCTAAAATACTTAAGGTATTTCTTCAGAAATTATGCATTTATCATCTGAAACATGGTGCGACTTATATTCCAAAGCGACTCGTGTAACGCAACTACTGCCAAGGCCACAAAACACACATTGAGCTAATTGAGACGTACGTGAGCCAGTATTTTAATTTATGAACGCCAAATTATGAATGCCAAAATATAATTTGTATGAATTATACTTCTATTTTTCATTCCTGTTCTGAATAACATTCAATTGAAAGGATTTATGGTGGAATGAGGGACTAAGATACATGAATATAATGTTTGTAAAACATGGTGTTATGTACTGCCATTTCACATTTCTGAATGTAATAAAATGTGACCTACACCGAAGGATGCAAAAGGTAATTTTTCAATAATTGAACAGTTTGATGTTGGCTAATTACATGCATTTAAACGCATGCCTTTTTTATTCCAAAGGTATTCTGATTTTACATTGTGACCAAGTGTGCCACACATCCTGAAAAGGGAAGCCAACACATTGATCGCCCCCTGGTGCCTGGCTGCAGTAAAGGTCATGAACCCCACCCTCTCCATGTAATCGAATGGGACGCAAGCCAAAAAAAAAAAAAAAAAAAAAAATCCAATTACACTTCAAATTATTTTCTTCTAAAGAGGTGTCATTTTAGGAAGTTCTTATGCAGACTTATGTCCAAGTGTTCGTTTTACCAATGAGTTCGGTTTTAGTTATTTGATGCTATAAAATGGGTTGTAACGTCATGATTGAATCAGAATCAAACGCAAGCACTGCTGTCAATGACCATTTCAGGGATATTTTGGCTTCATTTCCTACAGTGGAAGGAAGATGCGCAGTCCATCTTTTTTTAATCTGTCCTTGATGCTCATTGGTCAATAGTACCTTTTATTTACTATGGTCGCTTTACCCAACAGATCTGTGTGTCAATTCACAACATCCTTAGAAAACACTTGTCGTCGTGCCCTTCAATGGCCTTCAACAGTGACCATTCACAATATAGTAGCACGGCATCTCGGAGCTTATTAAATATTAAAAATATTTTTTACCTTTGACGATAGTTCTAATGTTGTCCTTTTCCCCATGGAAGGCATATTTGATGCTCTCTTCCTCCAGACTGACCCAGTAAACTCTATGCTCTCTCAGGTCATAGTCCAGAGAGAAGACGGGCTTCCGTCCTGGTGTGATGAGAGCTTGAATATTGGAGCTTCGCAGACCCAACTTTAACAGCTCATACTGTTCAGAGACCAAAAGACTGGGCTCCTCTGCACAAACACAAGATTCACATATAATATTAAATGGAGTTAATACTATTAATAGAGTAGAACACTAAGAAAATAAACTATTGGATCTCAATATGGTACAAGCACATTTCTGCTATTTTCCAGTTGTGGAAATACACATGCAAATATTTCAATTATATTTTTGCCCCACATTAGCATTTTTTTGTGGCCCATTTCAGCTGAGGAGCCGCACACAGAAGGTGAACTGTGGTTGTTCGCTTTACAAACGAATGGATTGATACCTGCCGTCTTGCAGCTGCGACCATCTGGCTCCAGTATAAATTCAGGTTGGCATCGACACAGGTAGGAGCCTAGCGTGTTGACGCAGTTATGAGCACAGGCAGCGGGCAGAATCTCTTTACATTCATCTACGTCATTGCAGGTTAAACCGTCAGACTGAAGCCTGAAGCCAGTCTTACAGCCACATCTCTGGAAACAAGAGAATATTTGAACATACAGCTGATTGCATTTATATTCTCGCTCAAAATGGGTTTACATTTTAAGTTGTTTTAATCATGATTGAAACATTAGGGACCAGATTTACAAACAGTTTGCTTCAGTGCAAATCCACTTCTGGTTTAAAACTGACATGCCGTCTGACAGCCAGCTCTCTGTGCACGTGCTTCGGATGCGTGCGCTCAGAAAGCCACACAGCTTATCAGAATTTTAAACTAATATGGGTTTATAGCGCATGCAGATAAACTTTCATGAAGAACTGCAATGTACCGTGATAGAGAATCAAATCCAAACCAATGTGAGCGGTACAGGCTTCGCCCTTTTCTGAAAAGCGGGGCAAGAGCACCAGCTCATTTGCATTTAAAGATGCATGCGCAAAAGTAGCACGTTTTTCCTTCCACTCAAAAATGGGCATTTAAAACATGGTCTAATAAATTATCTGAGGTATTTTGAGCTGAAACTTAAGAGACATATTATGCCCATTTTTAAATGTCTGAAGACCTAATACATGGATCCAATATACTGTTACACATGCAGCTTATTTACTAACGGTTCACGGTCACTTGATACATAACGACAATGTTTAAGAGAATATTCACTAAGCTGGGAATTGACATTTCTGTTTTTGACCGTTTTAGGCACAAACACGAGGGTCAAAGTTCACTTTGCTACCGTATTCTCCGTACACGCGCACAGAAAGCCGCTTGGAGAATAGTAGGCCTGGGCGATAAAACGATAACGATAATTATCGCGATATAATTTCTCGATAAAACGATATCAAGAGGTCGATAAATGTTCGATAATGTTTATGCGCCAAAAGCGGAACGAAACTCATTTGAACCGCGCGCACCTCACGGACCGTTTATCCGCTCGGCTCAAAATCCAAACGGCAGCGCAGCGCGAGCTCACTAGACTAGAGCAGACGCGTTTACTCTGATCGTCTCGCTCACGAGATCCAGTGAGAGAAGCGCTTGAGTTCAGCGAAGAACACAAATGTTTAAAGGCAGATGAAACACCGCTGACAAACAGGAGAAACACTGCGCGCAACGATACAGTCAGAATGTGAATTGATACTGAATCCATTTAGCCTACCATGGATTTACTGTAAGGTTAGCCTAGTAATATTAACTGCACCATGAAATGTGGCATATACATATTGAATTGTATAATATTAATGTAGACAATGTATTAAATGACTAATGGAATATAATTATAGTATTTAATAATGTATTTAACTGTTAGGCTACTGTTTTTCATACAAATACCATAGAAACCATAAAGTTACATTTTGCCATGATAGTGAGGTGCTATAGGTTAGGCTTTACCTGGTTTTATCTGTGGTTATCATGATCTAAATGCATGATACTGGATGACCAATGGTTAATTTTAATAAAACTCAAACAGTCAGAATATTACATTTTACCAAATTAAACAGATGTTACTGTTTTTGTTAATGAACAGTAGTATTAGCTTGAGTTAGGATGCAGATTTACTGTCAACTCACTGTCAAATAGGGATGCAACGATTACAGATTTTGTAAGTACGATTATTGTCTGAGAAATAATCACGATTTAACGATTATCACGATTATTATGCATCACTTAATTTCACAACACTACTAATGTATAATATCACATGAACACTCAACACTAGATTTTAATGTGTTATTTATTGCTGCCACAACACAGTACAAAATTAGAAAATGACAAACAATAATCAATCTCTGACTTTGGAATTAAAGAGAAGTGCTTTGTAAACATCCAGCATTTTTCTTTTAAAAATAACAAATTAAGTCAAAGGCTGCAGGGCACTTTGATTGAAATAGATCACAAAATTATTAAGTGTTTAGTTTGTTCTAAATTTATTTTCAACCCGAGGTAGAAAACTTGAAAACCTGAAAACAATATCTTGTTGGTATTTGACATAAAAACATAAATAATACTATAAAGGGATAATAAATCCCAATGAAAATAAGAATAAACAAAGTATTTGGCTCTATTGAATTAAATGCAAGCTAAATATTAGGCCTATGTATTTCTTTTAAAAGAAAACAAATATAGTCCAAATGTTATCCACCAATATTATTGTACTTATTTTAATACTCTTTTTTAATTATTAAACCAAATTTCACATGTGCCTTTAGGAAATCATCTATTATAATCTCATTATTTTGGTTTGTTTGTTTGAAGTTTGAGTACAAATTATAGAAAGAAACTGAGAACATCTCTCATGCAGTGTTATTAATAACTGAAATGCAGTTAATTGGTAGTCCTAGAAGTCTACACGGCCCTGATCTTATGTTAGTGTTTTACACCGGGCATATTACAACTACAAAGCCTGACATTTACTCAACACAGACAGGAGAAAGCAATAGGATATTAAGTTAAATGTTCACTGACTGAAACTCTTGAGAGCACGTCACATTCTGTTTTCCACAGACTTGCGTAACCAAAACATTCCGCTGTTTTTTTTTTTTTTTTTTTTTTTTACGTTGCACTGGAAGCTGAAAGTTGCACGCCGCATTCTCCTTTTTCCAAAGCGCTATAGGGCGGTTGCGCTCCGGAGGCGTCTGTCGTTGCTCTGTTGATTCTTGTCACTTGACCCACGGTGCGCTTGCGGCATTATGAAAAGTTGAGATGTTTTTATCTCGATGCAGCGCGGACGCGCTTGGAAAAAACGAGCGCGTCGACTCCATTATGAGCGCGGACACCGCGTGCGCCTACATTTGAAATGAACTTGAGCGCGCAAAAGACGCGATCTGTGAACAGGCCCTTAAGGCGTTTTTTCGGTGGAAATAGAGCGTCGCTGCTTAGTCCCTCAGTGGTTGACGAGCACGACACTTTAAGCTGGTGCACCGCTGGTGTAACTTTGTTTTCGTTTTGTGTTAGGTGCAAAAGTTCCGTTCCGTGCCGTCCGCGGTGTAGCATAGTCTTTACGATTAATTAACCGTGACGTTTTAAAGCGCGGTTAATTGTGAAATCCGGTAATCGCTGCATCCCTACTGTCAAATATGCATTTCGAGACAAAACATGTAATTTGAATATTGCAGCCTGCACTGCAAACTGCTGAAGAAATATTTTTCTATTCAGATATTAATTTTGTTAAGGAAAAATGACAAATATTTGAATGTTCTACCTCAGATTTGTGAAATGTTCACTTGTTTGGCAAGTGTTTGTCATGATATGTTCTGGCAATAAAGAGTTAAAACCACAATTAACGCTCTGGTTTATACAACTTTCAAGTTTAAAGGCAGATTTTTGCTCCTAAGTGAAAGAAATAAAGATTTGACATTTATCGTGATAATTATCGATATCGACTGATATAAAAAAAATATCGTGATAATTTTTTTGGGCCATATCGCCCAGCCCTAGAGAATAGCATCTCTTCAAGGGCTTAATGCGGTTTTAATGACCCTTTTATTAGAGCACATCCTGCAGTTTAGCAACAGTAGCTTGCATTCTACGACCATCACTGACCTAGCTGATTTCAGGGAGGAATGAAAGTGCACTGCTGTGAAGGAAAAAGCACTAAAATCACACCGCTCTAGTTTCTTGCTGTTATTGCGGTAGGGTTGCAGTCGTTGCAACATCTCCGCTCTCCACAAATACGTTGCATATGTATCGTCTTTTTCAGACACCGGCTAGAACTACCAGACGGTTAATGTAGTGAAGCAATTTTAGCTGCCATCAAAAAAAAAAAGTTAAATCACGAGTTGTCTCTTATCTGATCAGACTTTATAGAGACCACCAATCAAACTATATAAAGCTCTTATCGGTTGATCACGATCAGCACCCAATCAATCGGATCACCCTTAGTTCTTTAAATTGTGCATTGTCATTAGATCACCTGCAGAACTTTACACTCCCATCAGCGGATTGTGGTCTCACACTGATTTGATTTTAGTAAATCTGGCCCTAGGTATTATAAAACTATATATAAAAAAAATTAAAGAAAGGCTTGACCGCTCCATGTGGAGTGCTGAAGCAGTAGTGTTGGCATGATGGGCTGCTGGGACTGGAGCAGTTGTTCTTCAGACAGCCCACACCCTCATCAGAACCATCTGCACAGTCAGAGGCCCCGTTGCACACCAGATCTGGGTCCACACACTCCTCACTTCCACACCGGAACAAGTGTGTCGGGCATTTCACTTGACCACCTACAAAACAAGCAAATGTTTACAATTTAGTATTATTGAAAGCATTCTGTTGTGGAGTTTAGAATTGATCAGACATGCACTCACAGCCAGATTCATCACTCTCGTCCTTGCAGTCCTTCACGCCGTCACACTTCCACATCTTCGCAATGCATTGAGTTTTAGATGCACAGGACCACTGGAACTCTCCACACTTCAGCAGAGTCACCTTGCAGTTCTAAACCGAGAGAGAGAGCCGGTCTGATTGTATGGCACAGATTGATAACTTTGATTATCTCCTTCCTACTCTGACAAATGTGCAAGTTGACGTGTACACACTTAAACTAGTAAAGGTACCAGACAAAAATTGCAAAAACAAATGTTTCAAAAGGTTCCCAAAAAACTCTGTTCAACAAAAGGGTTTTATCTGCCCTAAACTTACACCACTGGCTACTCAAACCAACAGAGCAATGTTGAAAACACAAAAAAAAAAGAAAAAAAAAGCAAACCACAAAATAAAACGGCTACAAAAACACCAAACAAACCACTAACAAAAAACTACAACCACCACAAACACAATAAAAAAGCACACCACAAAATGCAAAAACCAGCACAAACAAAAAATCACAACACCACAAGTACAGACATACAACAATAACACCAAACAAAAACTACCAAAGAACAACCAACCACACAAACTCCAAAGACACAACAAAGAAACATAGGTAATGTTTGTGGTGTGTTTGCACTTGTACTATATGCAACCGCATTAGGTTTCGCTAGAACAAGACTATCTATACACTCTTAATTAACAGCAAAACACTGTCTCAGTGCGGCTCCTCACCCTCTCATCAGACCCATCACTGCAGTCCTGGTCTCCATCACAGAGCCACTCTTTCAGCAGACACTCGTGAGTGTGAGGGCAGCGCTGCTCCACAGGACAGTGAGGCGGCTGAGCACAGCTCTTCTCATCCGAGTGATCACGACAGTCAGCGAACCCGTCACAGCGGAGGGACAGAGCCACACACTGACCGTTACTGCACTGGAAACGGTCACTTGAACACGGCTCCACCACTGCAGGACAAATAAAGCCCAAGTGTAAGGGAAACTGTCCAAACACAGGACAAAGTAAAAAAAAAAAAAAAAAAAAAAGCTAAAATGGTGTGTGTACAAGTTTATTTTATATTGTAAAACCTGAGATCACCTACATGGTGGGGACCAGCCAGCGGTCCCCATGAAGGAAATGGATTAATAAACAAACAAAATTATGTTTTTTTGAAAATGTAAAAACGCAGAGTTTTCTGTGATTGGTAGGTTTAGGGTAATCGGAATAACCATTTTATACTGTACAAACTTTGTTTCCCTATCTTTGTGGGGACTCTCCATAGAAAATAGTGCGTGTGTAACAGCGTTACACATTGTGGATGTGCTCGTGTTGTGCACGCCAGCTACAACCAGATATCATTACAATTCTTTTTTCTTTTTTTTTGAGCTAGCAAGTGTCAAGAAAATCATGAAGTCTCATGCCATTTAGATGAACTTGTGACCCGAAATGAAGGGACACAAGTTCTTTTAACTTCAGCAGAGACCCATAAGGGTTAAGGGCAAAGTTGTGATTGATTTTGGACAAGTTCTTGGGACTGAAGCTACAGTTACAGCCATTAACTCCCTAATATGAATACTTTGTGCCGTTGACCTACCACAGTTGGCTTCGTCCGTGCCATCCACACAGTCTTTCTCTCCATCACAGAGGAAGGATTCAGGAAGGCAGCGGGTGTTATTGTCACACTGGTGTCTGCACTCCTCTGAGAGCTTCATGCAGTTGATCTCATCTGATCGGTCCTGACACTGAGGTGTGCCGTCACATACAAGCTTCATGTCTATACACTTCCTGCCATGAGCGCACTGGAATTGGCCTGGAGGGTTGAATTATTGAAATATGTAAAAGACAGTAAAACTGCAGTAGAAATACAATTAATTGTCAATTTGGTCAAAGCGTACCTTTTTTACATTTACGCTCACAGTTCCTTTCATCAGATCCATCCTTGCAATCTTTCTCTCCATCACACACGTGGCTGTACAGGACACACTCTTTCCCATCCCTACAAGGCTTGGATCCCAGGGGACATTTCAGAGGCAATGAAGCACTTGCAACCACACCAGTGTCTGAAACAAAAAAAAAAATCAATATTTGCCCAATTTAAATGGTAACGTCACCCAAAACTGACAATTCTATCATCATACTCCTGTTGTTCCAGACACAAGACTTTCTACTGTGCAGATTTTCAATTAATAAATTTACTTTAATTTCGATCTGCTCCTCACACGAAGTTTAGTATGGCTTCCGAAGACTTCCAATAGCATATTTCTTTAATTTTATGGAAAAATAGGATTCAAGACATTGTTAAACATTGCTTTTTGTTTTCCACTAAAGAAAGAATTATTTGGGTTCTGACCGACATCTAAATAATTAAATAAATTCAGTAAATGATTACAGGTGTGAACTTACAACAGTTCTTCTCATCTGAACCGTCTCTACAGTCTGGTTTTCCATCACAGAGCTGCTGTTTAGTCAGGCACACCATCTTCTGGTCGCAACGTAAAGCACAGGTGGGACACTGTTGCTCATCCGACCCGTCAGCGCAGTGCGGGTAACCGTCACACACTAGGGTCCTCCTAACACACTGCTGTCTGTCCTTGCACAGAAACTGGTCTGATTGGAGTACAAAACCTTATCATCAAATGTACATGGACGATCATCCCATTTAAGAATAGAACAAATTCAACATGTTACCTGGATCTGGACATGAATGTATGCAAGACTGCTCATCTGCTCCACTCGGACAGTCTGTCTTCCCATCACATATTTGGGATTGTGTGATGCATTTCGAGGTTTCATGACAAAACACAGAAGGGCTAATGCAGACTGGCTGGGATGATATTTTAGAAGGGTCTGTGATGGACGGGCCAGTAACAGGAGCTAAGAAACAAATCAATGAGTACATTTAATATCTTAACCCAAATTAAATGCAAAATAAGTCGTTTTTAAACTGCTTGCTTAATTAAAATGCTTTATTAGTTCAGTTAAAACCATTACCACAGTTGTCTTCATCAGTGGCGTCTACACAGTCTTTCTCTCCATCACAGAGGAAGTTTTCTGGGATGCAGCGAGTTTTATTGTCACACTGGTGTTTGCAGTCGTGTGAGCGAGTGAAACAGTCCATTTCATCAGAGCGGTCCTGACACTGAGGTGTGCCGTCACACACCTGCTTTCTGTCGATACACATCCTCCCATGAGCGCACTGGAACTGATCTAGGAGGAAACGTTTGGTTTAAATGCCACTTACACATGTCTTGGCTACATAAAGCAGTTACGAATCAGCTTCATGCGTTTTACCTGCTTTACACTTATATTCACAGCCCCGTTCATCAGATCCATCCTTACAGTCCCTCTCTCCATCACACACATGACTGTACAGGACACACTCACGTCCATCCTCACAGGGTTTAGAGCCCAAACGACACTTTAATGGCCCCGAGGATGAGGTTTCAGCAGCCATGGTGGGACATCCCATCTCATCTGAACCGTCAATGCAGTGAGAGCGACCATCACACACCAGATTCCCATCAATACACTTCCTTCTGTCCTTGCATAGAAAGTCACCTAAAAGTAAAATGAAAATTGTGAGATTTTTTGTAATACAGCCATAGCTTGTGCAATTAAGATAGTATCCTTTGAGTACCTGAGTTCGGACATCTGTCAAAGCAGAATGTTTCATCATATCCATCAGGACAATCTCTCTTGCCATCACAGAGACTAGTGTGAGGGATGCACAGCGACCCATCACGACACAATACAGCAGGACTTTCACACTTCACCACCTTTGTGGGGTACCCTGCAGAAAAAAAAAGATGATATTGAATAGATGTAATTTAGCTGAACTAATCAATCTCAGTATCAGATACCCACCACAGTCAGATTCATCAGTGCCATCCACACAGTCTTTCTCTCCATCACACAGGAAGTTTTCTGGGACGCAGCGAGTTTTGTTGTCACAGCGATGGCTGCAGCTCTTGCTGCGTGTGAAGCAATCCCTCTCATCAGAAAAATCTTGACATTGTGGTTTGCCATCGCACACAAGCTTTGAGTCGATGCATTTCCTCCCATGGGCACACTGAAACTCCCCTGAGAAGCAACAAAACCACTAAGACAGAGTTTTTGAATAAGCAATATTTAAAACTGTCCTCTGTTTGAGTACCAAGGTGAAAGGTAACTTCTGTGCCACAACTGCCATAAAACAATTGATATTTAAAAAAAAAAAATATATAGCTGCAATCAACAATTAAAGGGCCAAGCACCCTAGAAGCAGAAAGAGGAGCTAAAATCAGGCTAACTGCAAAAATGAGAAAACATTTAGAGGCGATTTTAAGCAAAATGGAGGATGCCCATAAATACAATCACTTGTAATGTGACAATTGCTCATTACTTGACCAATAGGAGTCACTGACAACCAAATTGATCTGGTGTGGTCAGCCTCTGAGGCTGATGGCATACTGCCAAACTGCAACTGTTGCAGTTTGCCATCAAATTCATTGATGTGGTACACGGAAATAGTTCTCTCAACACAAAATTAATGACTTTTTGCCGACCTGGTCTGAAGATGATCTGACTTGATTTTGGTGAAAATCATACAAACGGTCTAGAAGTTTTTAAAAGTAGGTTATTAAAGAAAATCAAAAAGGTGGACAAAGATCAGCTGACTATGGGAAAATTTGCATCTACTGTATGTTCTCAGCATGGCCAAATGAATCTATTAAGACCATATTCATTACAATTATGCAAAATGAATCAAAAGCTTTTAGCATTTTTCCCCCACAAGGTGGCGCTGTCTCTATACTTGTTAAATACCTTCAGGACATGGTGGCAATGACACAGATTTGTAACAATGTGCCAATTCGTTTGTAAAAAATGTTAGTCTCAGTCATCACACCCACGGACTGTTGGCTGAACGTGAAGCATAAGGTACACAAAATGACATGTCCTTGGCCAATGAAAGCTGCGATGGAGTTCAGGCCTTCTGCGTCAATCTGAAGGTCTGGCTATGTGAGGCCGATACCCAAAATGGCTGATATGGGAACATTGTGCACCGTTCGACTTGCTGCACCAAATATAAAAAGACCGTTCAGAAGTTAGAAACAAAAATACATTTCTCATGTCTCCTGAACACTAGGCGGCACTGCACCAAAACTGTGCAGGTAATCCTTAGGTCATGAGTCTCAACACCAAGTTTGGTCTGAATACAATAAAGAGTTGGAGATGTAGCCTCGCATTCATTTTGGCATGCTCTTCATGGAGTCAGTTCATGCATTGTTCAAGAATTGCGTGACTAAATTGGTTTTCTATGATTTTCAGTCGACAGTCTTAAGATGATCTGGTTTGATTTTCATGAAAGTTCACAAAAAGTTTTTTTTTTTTGTGAATGACATCATAGGGTGCAATCTAATTTGGTTTCTAGCCCACAGTTCAAAAGTCATCAGCATAAATGCGAGTGCAACTTTGGACAGTTGGTGGTGCTAGAAGGATTGAGGTAGAGAGTCTAAATTTACTGTGGTTAATGTTTAAACTGTCCTCTGTGTGCCAAATTTCACAACTTTTTACAATACAGTTCTATGGACAGCCATAGACTTGAGGAAGAGGACGACTAGAAAGAAGAGGAAGAAGATTAAAAGCTACAACAGTAATATAAAGAAAAAAATACATATACAAATAAATTAACTATTTCTGTTACGTTATTTATGAAGTGTTGGAACAAAATAATCTTTGGTTTGACTACCTGTTTTACAATTAAAATCGCAGTCAGCTTCGTCCGATCCATCCTTACAGTCTCTCTCTCCATCACACACATGACTGTACAGGACACACTCAAGTCCATCCTTACAGGGTTTAGAGCCCACACGACACTTTAATGACGCTGTTGAGGTTTTAGCAGCCATGGTGGGACATCCCATCTCATCTGAACGGTCAATGCAGTGAGCACGACCATCACACACCAAATCTCTCTCCACACACTTACTCCTGTCGTTACACATAAAATCACCTGGCAGAAAAAGAGATCGTAAGTTATAAGACAGCAAGAACTTTTTCAAACAATACACATTATCAGTAAAACGAAGTAAATGTGTTCATTACTGCGATATGGGCAGTTGCGGAGGCACGGTCTCTCATCAGATCCATCAGGACAGTCTTTTCTCCCATCACACAGATATCGCTGCAGGATGCATAGTGACGTCCCCTGACAAGCCACATAAGGGCTTTTGCACGGTGATGGTGGGGTCGGCATGGCTGCAACCATTGGCGATTGTTAAAACAAATTATTTTTTAAAATTAGACTAGAATTATATTTAATATGCGTTACCATCCAAGTCAAAACTCTGACAATGTCTGATAGACCATTCCTTCATAGTTAAGTAATGTGACTCGCAACATAATTGAGACACTATGACTCAGAAACGCATTGATTTTTTTTTTGTTGCGTTTAATTTGTTGACACCAGTGGTGCAAAAATGACTCTAATCACTTGTCAGAGCCCACATGTAGGAGCAAATGTGTCATTTGTGATGTTTCTACAGCAGACTCACCACAGTCAGCTTCATCCGAGCCGTCCCAACAGTTCCTCATACCATTACAGATGAACACCTCTGGGATACAGCGGGTGTTCCCATCACAGCGCATGCTGCAGCTCTTGGTGGGTTTCCAGCAGCCTGCTTCATCAGAGTTATCTGGACACTGAGGAGTCCCATCACACACTTGCCGGAAGTCAATACACTTCTTTCCCTGAATGCACTGAAACATCCCTGTGAATGAATCAGCATACCAGAAAGATAAGCAAAGACAAAAAATAAACTAGGGTTGAGATTGTGAAATCATGGTAACATCTCACCAGGATTGCATTGAAGTTCACAATTTTCTTCATCAGATCCATCTTTACAGTCCATCTCTCCATCACACACATGACTGTACAGGACACACTCACGTCCATCCTTACAGGGTTTAGAGCCCACACGACACTTGAAGGGTGCTGTTGTTGTAGTTTTAGCTGCTATGGTGGGACATCCCATCTCATCAGAACCATCAAGGCAGTGAGAGCGACCATCACACACCAAATCTCCCTCAATACACTTCCTTCTGTCCTTACAAAGGAAGTCATCTGTATGAATAACATGGAAAACAGCACAATGTAAGAGAAGGAAGAAGAGGACGAGTACGAAGCAGAGGACGACGAGGAGAATGAGAAGGAGAATGAGAAGGAAGAGAACGAGGCAAAATGCGAAGAACAAGGAGAAAAACAAAGGATGAAACGAGGAAGCAGATGAGAAAAAAAGTGGAGGAGAAGGATAAGGAGGCAGAGGACAAGGAGAAGAACAAGGATGAGGAAAAGGAGGCAGAATTGGATGAGGAGAAAAGGAAGAGAACGAGGAGGCAGAAGGGGAGGACGATGAGAAGGGAGAACAAGGAGAAAAACAAAGGATGAAATGAGGAAGCAGATGAGAAAAACAGTGAAGGAAGAGGAGTATGAGAAGGATGCCAAAGACAAGAACAAGGGGAAAAAAGGTTAAGGAATGAGGGGAGAGGAAAAATGTGAAGGAGAACAAGAACACGCAGGAGAACAAGGAAGGAATAGGAGATGGAGAAGGAGGCCTAAAATCAGCCTAAGGTTGCGTGCTGGTCTTCATGCAGGACCTGTTTGGTGGTTTTAGAAGGGTTTGGGGTACTTGTCAGCTGATCCAGCTGGGAGACAACCTAAACCAGTCTAAACCCGTCAAGGACATCAAAACACCCAAGACTGGTTAAAACTTTTTTTCAGCTGGGAGAACTTATTTTACCTGTAGAAGCACATGCATATATGCAAGAAGCTTCATCAGATCCATCTGGACAGTCTCTTCTGCCGTCACACAGCTGCGCCTGAGACATGCACACTGATGTTCCCAGACAGAGTACAGAGGGACTCTCACAGCTTGTCTGAGCTGGTCTGGATACAGCTGTCACAAAACATGGAGCAGGTGGAGTCTTATTAGGTAATCGATAACATTTCATTCTTCAACCAGATTTAGAATAAGTCTTTGAAATATGACACTATTTGAAAAGTGGAGAATACCGATATTGAGTGAAAGTAACAAGCAACTACTGATACACTTTTGATATTTGCCTGCAGTGGGAGTGAACCTAACTTTATGCCGTCAAATTTCTGCAGTACAAGACCATGCACATTGAAAGAGCTTGTGTGGAAGAGTTTTTAATGTTAATCCAGTTACTACATAATCTTAGACTTTACTACAGTTCAGGAGAACTGTTGGCTCACCACAGTTGGCTTCATCCGTGCCATCCAGACAGTCCCTAACCCCATTGCAGATGAAGATTTCAGCAATACAGCGAGTATCCCGGTCACAACGCATGCTGCAGCTCATTGAGGGTTTCTGGCATCCTGCTTCATCAGACTTATCCAGACACTGAGGAGTCCCATCACACACCTGATTCATTTCAATACATCTCCCTCCAGAGGTACACTGGAACTGCCCTGAGGTTGAAGAACAAGGGCATAATGGGGTCAGTACTTGGATATGATGACCAAATTGTTGTGATAAAGTAGAGTACTGAAATTTGTCCAACCAGATTGGCATTGACGACCACAGTCCTGTTCATCAGATCCATCTGTACAGTCCCTCTCTCCATCACACACATGACTGTACAGGACACACTCACGTCCATCCTTACAGGGTTTAGAGCCCGTACGACACTTTAATGGCCCCGAGGATGAGGATTTAGCACCCATGTAACACGCCACCTCATCAGAACCATCAAGGCAGTGAGCGCGACCATCACACACCAGATTCCCATCAATACACTTCCTTCTGTCCTTACACAGGAAGTCATCTGGCACAATATTACAGATGTCAGTGCTTTTCAACAAAAATAAAAGCAAAGATTTACATTGAAGATCAAGCAGAGATTTACCAGGTTTTGAACAAACGTGTACACACGAAACTTCATCAGAACCATCCGGACAATCTATCTTCCCGTCACAGAACAGAGTCTGGGAAATGCACAGTGATGTTCCTGGACACATCACGGATGGACTTCTGCAGGTCGGAGGCGGAGGCGCAAAACCTGAACGGTCTTTGTTTAGAGTCACTGAATTTACTTCCTCTCTGTTAGTCTTAGCTGTGAACACATGGAGATCAGGCATTCATCAATAATGGTTAAACACAGAATAAGCACATGTTACATTTCACATGCCAAGAGGTTAACCAATAATAAGAGGCAATTTACATACAGTAGAGGTCTTAAAAGTATATAGAAGCAAAAAAAGCCAGAAAGGGTCAGGAATTGGGATTATTTTCAACATTATAAACCAAGGCATTTGCAAGTTGATTTTGGTAGAAATAACACTGTGGTGCTAACCAAAAAAAAAAAGTTTGTATGAGGAGTGGGCCGGCATAGCAAAATTAACTCAACCAATGATGAGAGTTTGGTTTGGAACGGAGTCAATTTTGCTGAGTCAATTTTGCTATGCCGGCCCACTCCTCATACAAACTTTTTTTTTTTTTGGTTAGACCAACCGTTCCAACCCAAACTCTCATCACAAAAAAAAAAAAAGTTTGGGAATCATTTTTGAAAAAATAACCTTCGGAAACCTTTGCAACTCATTTTGGTGATGCTATTGATGCAGATAATAGTTGATTTTCACCACAGGGGGTCTTCACAGACATATAAACATTAATAACTTAATCTTTTGTGTTTTTAATATGCTTTAAAGGGGACATATGAAAATCGGACTTTTCCCGTTTTTAAGTGCTATAATCGGTTCCCCAGTGCATCTACCAACCCAGAAAACATGAAGTGACAACCCAGTAACTTCGTTTTGGTGAGCCTTTCTCTGCAAGCATGTAAAAAAATAAGCCGATCAGGTTTTGCTCCCCTTCTGACGTAGGAAGGGGATCTTATAATATTACCGCCCCTTAAGGCCCGTTCACACCAAGCACGATAACTATAAAGATAACGATAAAGATATAATTCTAAAAATCGTTCTCCATATTAAAGAATAACAGTTCACACCACAACTATAACGATAAAGATATGAGGAACGATATCGTTGGGATCACTTTCAGAACGATTTTTTTCTAGCTGTCGAACGATAAAACACTGACAGCCAATCAGAATCCATTCTAATTTAAAGGTCTACTTTGAAACCGCAGCGCGGGCGCGCGCGTGCTTAGAATAAAAAGACCGTTATCAGTCGTTGGTGTGGACGCATATATAGTTAGTTATCTTTATCGTTATCTTTATAGTTATCGTGCTTGGTGTGAACGGGCCTTTAATCTGCAAGTTTCCACCCACAGCCCCACCATTTGCAAGTGACAGTGTAACCAGTTCTAATGCAATGGCAAAAGCTCGAGCAAAGCATGCAAACTGTTCTGTCATTGCTGCACAGACGAGCACTGAACACAACCAAAAAAACGTCACAGCCGTCTAAAGGCCTCAGGGAACGGTTTCAACTTGCATGTACAGTCATGTTTAACTTTTACACAAGTCGATGAGATGAATCAATGTAACTCAGTGGATACATTTATATAGTTGTCTAACAATTCAGAAACGTCCAGGTGCGTCTAAAAGTTGCAACCTCTTCCTGAGTCTCCGTAAGGCTGCACTCGCTACCGAGATTTGGGATGATTCACGGGTTTTGTTATTCCCGTAGTATCCGAGGCTTGTGTAAAGGGTCCAGTGGTGGAGGAAGTACTGAATCTCAGTACTTATGTAAAAGTCCAAATAACCAGAGACATACACTCACCTAAAGGATTATTAGGAACACCATACTAAACTGTGTTTGACCCCCTTTCGCCTTCAGAACTGCCTCAATTCTACGTCGCATTGATTCAACAAGGTGCTGAAAGCATTCTTTAGAAATGTTGGCCCATATTGATAGGATAGCATCTTGCAGTTGATGGAGATTTGTGGGATGCACATCCAGGGCACGAAGCTCCCGTTCCACCACATCCCAAAGATGCTCTATTGGGTTGAGATCTGGTGACTGTGGGGGCCATTTTAGTACAGTGAACTCATTGTCATGTTCAGGAAACCAATTTGAAATGATTCGAGCTTTGTGACATGGTGCATTATCCTGCTGGAAGTAGCCATCAGAGGATGGGTACATGGTGGCCATAAAGGGATGGACATGGTCAGAAACAATGCTCAGGTAGGCCGTGGCACTTAAACGATGCCCAATTGGCACTAAGGGGCCTAAAGTGTGCCAAGAAAACATCCCCCACACCATTACACCACCACCACCCCCAGCCTGCACAGTGGTAACAAGGCATGATGGATCCATGTTCTCATTCTGTTTACGCCAAATTCTGACTCTACCATCTGAATGTCTCAACAGAAATCGAGACTCATCAGACCAGGCAATATTTTTCCAGTCTTCAACTGTCCAATTTTGGTGAGCTCTTGCAAATTGTAGCCTCTTTTTCCTATTTGTAGTGGAGATGAGTGGTACCCGGTGGGGTCTTCTGCTGTTGTAGCCCATCCGCCTCAAGGTTGTGCGTGTTGTGGCTTCACAAATGCTTTGCTGCATACCTCGGTTGTAACGAGTGGTTATTTCAGTCAAAGTTGCTCTTCTATCAGCTTGAATCAGTCGGCCCATTCTCCTCTGACCTCTAGCATCAACAAGGCATTTTCGCCCACAGGACTGCCGCACACTGGATGTTTTTCCCTTTTCACAGCATTCTTTGTAAACTTTAGAAATGGTTGTGCGTGAAAATCCCAGTAACTGAGCAGATTGTGAAATACTCAGACTGGCCCGTCTGGCACCAACAACCATGCCACGCTCAAAATTGCTTAAATCACCTTTCTTTCCCATTCTGACATTCAGTTTGGAGTTCAGGAGATTGTCTTGACCAGGACCACACCCCTAAATGCATTGAAGCAACTGCCATGTGATTGGTTGATTATATAATTGCATTAATGAGAAATTGAACAGGTGTTCCTAATAATCCTTTAGGTGAGTGTATTTACTTAAGTAGGGTTGTCATTGTGGTACTTCTACTTTCACTAAAGTAAAAAGTACCTGATTTTAAATGTACTTTAAGTATTAAAAGTACTTGCAGAACAATTTATTCTCTTAATGTCTATATTCTAATGATTAATAAAACAGTTAATTCTAACTCATTCAACCTAATAATCCTATAATGATGTTCAATAATGATGGAAAAGCCGTTTAAGATTTTGTCACCATTTCTGAACAAGCTTGCAATTAGGCAGCACATCAAGCTTAATTTGACGGGGTTTGGCTGTAAACGCGATTTATGGCGTAATTCTGAACCTCTTGGCTTGTCATACTAATCCTAACCAAACGTATAATAGGCTACACGCACCCCACACCACTACTAAACCTACCCATGCGTATCCTATGCACGTAAAAACAAATTTCCGCGTATAAATTATAGCACGCAGTGTGTTTATTGTGAAGAGACGCATTTAGTGTGACCGGGTTGATATGGCAACCAAACTTCACTGGTGAGACAAACGTGCGACGAACGGACGGTCAGGATGACGTTTTGGCAGGGGAAAAACTGATCAGAAAATGTAACGAAAATGTAACAGAACGTTGTAGAAATGTAGTGAAGTAGAAAGTATAATAATTGCTGCAAAATGTAACAAAGTAAAAGTAATAAGTATGCACTATTGATTCTACTTTGTTACTTAAGTAAAGTAAAGATATGTGAAAAATGTACTAAAGTATTTGTACTTCGTTACATTCCACCACTGAAAGGGTCGGCCGTTTTCTGAACGGGGAGCAGCAGCTCATTTGCATTTAAAGGGACACAAAAAGGTGCATTTTTGCTCACACCCAAAAAGGGCAAATTTGACAAGCTTTAATAAATTATCTGGGGGGTATTATGAGCAGGAATTTCACAGACGCATTCCAGGGACACCATAGATTTATATTACTTATGATTTTACACTTGGTTTGTCTTAAAGGTGACAGTAACGCTGTTGACTTGTGAAAAGAGGCATACAATTGGTTCACTGCAGTTTTAAGGAGAAAATACTAAAGTCAGTCTCAAAAACGTGGTTTTAAATTGCTGTTGTTCTCTACATCACAAATGCTGTCGAAACCAATCACAGCAACATGCCGACGAGCTTTAGCATATCATTAACTGTTGTGAAGCAGGGGAGTCTCAAGAGAAGCCAGGTTATACAGGTATATTTGATATAAATACACTTGCCCGGTATATTGCTAAATGTACCCGATTTTTCATATAGTTCATTTATAACATTGTTAAATACATATGCCTCTCTCCACTGACGTTCTGAGTTGTTTAAAGCGTTTCTAAGGATGCTGATTTAGGCGAAAACGCATTATACAGGGTCATCTACAAATCAATATCAAAATGGTAATTCAGAAACTGATTCAGAAGAAGTGGAAGAGTGGTTTAAACATATATGGCTGAATTAAACCAGTATTTCCACTGGCCATTGTGCAGCGTTTACTATAGTAAGGTTGATTGAGTGAAACAGGTAGTCTGAGCTGGTGTAATGCAGGGTGGAGGTGGGGACTAATTTGCAGATTCATGGTTTCCACGTATATTAAAAGATAGGGTGTAGAATTACATTCAAGATATTTTAAGGAAGAAATTCTTTTGTTTTCTTTTCTGTGAAAAATAAGTTAAAATGTAATTTTGGTGATTAAAGAGTTAAGGGATAACATTGACTACAGGGGGACTTTAAATACTGGGTGGGCATAAATATGATAATGCATTGAACAAATCTCCATCTTTTGAAAACAAACTCACAGCAGTTGTCTTCATCAGTGGCGTCTACACAGTCTTTCTCTCCATCACAGAGGAAGTTTTCTGGGATGCAGCGAGTTTTATTGTCACACTGGTGTTTGCAGTCGTGTGAGCGAGTGAAACAGTCCATTTCATCAGAGCGGTCCTGACACTGAGGTGTGCCGTCACACACCTGCTTTCTGTCGATACACATCCTCCCATGAGCGCACTGGAACTGATCTAGGAGGAAACGTTTGGTTTAAATGCCACTTACACATGTCTTGCCTACATAAAGCAGTTACGAATCAGCTTCATGCGTTTTACCTGCTTTACACTTATATTCACAGCCCCGTTCATCAGATCCATCCTTACAGTCTCTCTCTCCATCACACACATGACTGTACAGGACACACTCACGACCATCCTTACAGGGTTTAGAGCCCGTACGACACTTTAATGGCCCCGAGGATGAGGATTTAGCAGCCATGTAACAAGCCACCTCATCAGAACCATCAAGGCAGTGAGCGCGACCATCACACACCAGATTCCCATCAATACACTTCCTTCTGTCCTTACACAGGAAGTCATCTGGCACAATATTACACACGTCAGTGCTTTGGTCATTAAGAAAAAGATTTACATTGAAGATCAAGCAGAGATTTACCAGGTTTTGAACAAACGTGTACACACGACACTTCATCAGAACCATCCGGACAATCTATCTTCCCGTCACAGAACAGAGTCTGGGAAATGCACAGTGATGTTCCTGGACACATCACGGATGGACTTCTGCAGGTCGGAGGCGGAGGCGCAAAACCTGAACGGTCTTTGTTCAGAGTCACAGAATTTACTTCCTCTCTGTTAGTCTTAGCTGTGAACACATGGAGATCAGGCATTCATCAATAACGTTTGAACACAGCATGTCAAGTGTAACATGTGCTTATTGTTCTAAGAGGTTAACCAATAATAAGAGGTAATTTACATACAGTAGAGGTCTTAAGTATATAGAAGCAAAAAGCCAGAAAGGGTCAGGAATTGAGATTATATTCAACATTAGTGGAGATCATGGGAAAAAATTAACAGGATATTGCACCTTTAATGGCATGCATGTAGTTGTTGGTTTACGGTTCCATACTAATCTAGAGTAGGTGAAAGTATTAAGGCACTGGCAGGTTGATTTTGCTAGAAACACACTGTGGTGCGAACCAAAAACACCCGTTTGTATGAGTGGGCCGGCATAGCAAAATTGACTCAAAACAGTTCCAACCCAAACTCTCACCATTGGTTGTCGAACCAATGAAAAAAAGTGGAATGTTTGGGAATCCTCTTTGAAAAAAATAAACTTGGCAACTCGTTTTGGTGATGCTGTTAGAGATAATGGTTCACCCTTTAGTGAAAATCAAGCTATTAAATGTTTATATGTCTATATATTGTTTTTAATGTGCTTTTAAACCAATTGTGATAACTTATAAATGTGTACATGGTTGGAGTATTTTCTCCTTAAAACTGCAGTGAACCAAAGGGTCTCAAACACCGTTTGAAATTGCGGTTCTCTACGTCACAAATGCTGTCGTAACCAATCCTGTCAACATGCCGATGGGCTTTAGCTTATCATTCACAGCAGGGGAGTCTCAAGAGAAGCCAGGTTATACAGGTATATTTTCTGTTTATATAAATAAATTTACCCGCCATAGCGCTAAATGTACCCGATTTTTCATATGTACATAAAAACGCTTTAAACTCAGGAATGGTAATGCATTTTAGCTTAAATAGGAATGTTATGATTAACTATTATGCCTAAGGATGCATTTCTCCACTGACATTCTGATACATCAATTTGTAGACAACCCTTTATAATTCACTCTTCTGAATCAGTTTCTGGTTCAAACATACACTATCATCAAGTTTTGGGACGCCCGTCTTTACATGCACATGAACTTTAATGACATCGTACTAAACCCTATGGAATAAGAATGGGGAGTTGGCCCACCCTTTGCAGCTATAACAGCTTCAACTCTTCTGGGAAGGCTTTCCACAAGGTTTAGGAGTGTTTATGGGAATTTGACCATTCTAGAAGCGCATTTGTGAGGTCAGGCACTGGTGCTGGACGAGAAGGCCTGGCTCGCAGTCTCCGCTCTAAATTCATCCCAAAGGTGTTCTAACGGGTTGAGGTCAGGACTCTGTGCGGGGCAGTCAAGTTCCTCCACACCAGACTTGCTCATCCATGTCTTTATGGACCTTGCTTTGGAGCACGGGTGCGCAGTCATGTTAGAACAGGACGGGGCAATCTCCAAAATGTTCCAACAAAGTTGGGAGCATGAAATGGTCCAAAATGTCTAGGTATGCTGAAGCACTAAGAGTTCCCTTCACTGGAACTAAGGGGCCAAGCCCAACCCCTGAAAAACAACCCCACACCATAATCCCCCCTCCACCAAACTTTACACTTGGCACAATGCAGTCGGGCAAGTACAGTTCTCCTGGCAACCGCCAAACCCAGACTCGTCCATCGGATTGCCAGACAGATAAGTGTTATTGTCACTACAGAGAACACGTCTCCACTGCTCTAGAGTCCAGTGACGGTGCGCTTTACACCACTGCATCCCACTTGATATAAGGCTTGGCTGCAGCTGCTCGGCCACAGAAACCCATTCCATGAAGCTCTCTACGCACCGTTCTTGAGCTAATCTGAAGGCCACAGAAGTTTGGAGATCTGTAGGTATTGACTCTGCAGAAAGTTGGCGACGTCTGCGCACCTCGGCATGCGCTGACCCCACTCTGTGATATTACGTGGCCTACCACTTCATGGCTGAGTTGCTGTTGTTCCCAATTGCTTCCACTTTGTTATAATACCACTAACAGTTGACCGTGGAATATTTAGTAGTGAGGAAATTTCCAGAATGGACTTATTGCACAGGTGGTATCTATCACAGTACCACGCTTGAATTCACTGAGCTCCTGAGAGCGACCCATTCTTTCACAAACGTTTGTAGAAGCGTCTGCATGCCTAGCTGACTGACTTTATACAACTGTGGCCATGGAAGTGATTGAAACACCTGAATTCAATGATTTGGAGGGGAATTCAATACGTTTGGCAATAGTGTATATGGCTGAATTAAACCAGTATTTCCACTGGCCCTTGTGCAGCGTTTACTATAGTAAGGTTGATTGAGTGAAACCGGTAGTCTGAGCTGGTGTAACGCAGGGTGGAGGTGGGGACTAATTTGCAGATTCATGGTTTCCACGTATATTAAAAGATAGGGTGTAGAATTACATTCAAGATATTTTAAGGAAGAAATTTTTTTTTCTTTTCTGTGAAAAATAAGTTAAAATGTAATTTTGGTGATTAAAGAGGAGTTCTAAGGGATAAAATTGACTACAGGGGGACTTTAAATACTAGGTGGGGATAAATATGATAATGCATTGAACAAATCTCCAACTTTTGAAAACAAACTCACAGCAGCTGTCTTCATCAGTGGCGTCTACACAGTCTTTCTCTCCATCACAGAGGAAGTTTTCTGGGATGCAGCGAGTTTTATTGTCACACTGGTGTTTGCAGTCGTGTGAGCGAGTGAAACAGTCCATTTCATCAGAGCGGTCCTGACACTGAGGTGTGCCATCACACACCTGCTTTCTGTCGATACACATCCTCCCATGAGCGCACTGGAACTGATCTAGGAGGAAACGTTTGGTTTAAATGCCACTTACACATGTCTTGGCTACATAAAGCAGTTACGAATCAGCTTCATGCGTTTTACCTGCTTTACACTTATATTCACAGCCCCGTTCATCAGATCCATCCTTACAGTCCCTCTCTCCATCACACACATGACTGTACAGGACACACTCACGTCCATCCTTACAGGGTTTAGAGCCCGTACGACACTTTAATGGCCCCGAGGATGAGGATTTAGCAGCCATGTAACAAGCCACCTCATCAGAACCATCAAGGCAGTGAGCGCGACCATCACACACCAGATTCCCATCAATACACTTCCTTCTGTCCTTACACAGGAAGTCATCTGGCACAATATTACAGACGTCAGTGCTTTTCAACAAACATAAAAGCAAATATTTACATTGAAGATCAAGCAGAGATTTACCAGGTTTTGAACAAACGTGTACGCATGAAACTTCATCAGAACCATCCGGACAATCTATCTTCCCGTCACAGAACAGAGTCTGGGAAATGCACAGTGATGTTCCTGGACACATCACGGATGGACTTCTGCAGGTCGGAGGCGGAGGCGCAAAACCTGAACGGTCTTTGTTCAGAGTCACCGAATTTACATCCCTTTTAGTCTCAGCTGTGAACACATGGAGATCAGGCATTTATCAATAATGGTTAAACACAGAATAAGCACATGTTACATTTCACATGCCAAGAGGTTAACCAATAATAAGAGGTAATTTACATACAGTAGAGGTCTTAGAATATAGTAGCAAACAAATCCAGAAGGAGTCAGGAATTGTGATTATTTTCAATATTATTAGTGGAGATATGGTAAAACAAAAATTAATAGGATATTGCACCTTTAAAAGGCATGCATGTAATTGATGTTAGAATACTTTCACCTACTCCAGATTTGTATGGAACAGTAAACCAAGACATTGGCAGGTTGATTTTGCTAGAAACAGTGCTATGCCGTTTTTTTTTTTTTTTGCACCAAAGTTGCCTCAAACAGTTCCAACCCAAACTCACCATTGGTTGTCTAACCCCCAAAAAAGTGGAATGTTTGGGAATCCTCTTTAAAAAAAAAAACCTTGGGAAACCTTTGCAACTCGATTTTCACCACAGGGGGTCTTAAAAGGTGAACTATTATCTGCATCACCAAAACAAGTTATTAAATGTTGTTTATATGTCTATTCCCGCGTCTCAATGTCCATATTATCCATCCTAAACAGCATGCGAGATAAAAAGTAGTGTCCCAAAGCATAGTATGTTAAAAGTCCCCAGATGGTCTACTATTTCCGGTGGATTTCAAAGTGTGGATAATAAAGGCCAATATTGCCACAATCCATTGCGTTTGAGGAACTACAAAAAAAAATAATATATAAAACATGGCAGATATGCGCAACTGACAGTGAGATGTTTAGATAAGGTCTTAGTGACTAAAAAATAAAACTTGGATTAGTGTTAGATTTCATCTGCAATAATGTGGACTTTAAAAGTTAATGGCCAAACGGATCTGTATAAAATGCATCTTTATGCATTAATATGAGGAGAGTTCTCTGCATGAAAGACCCACGACTGCAGATCAATGTGCTACTGCATTTCTCTTCGATACGGTAGGAAATGAAGTGGAGGATTTTAACTGTGACAAGATGATTGACAGGCCAGTTTACTGTGAAAGGAGGCAACAGAGCAACCGTTATAGACAAGCTTTGGGACATACCATCACGTCATACAATTGTCTATTTTTGTGTAGAAAAAGTAGATGCTTTTGAGTGTAGCAAAAAGGAGTACATATTTTACGGCGTAGTATTAAGGCGTTGAATTGAGACGCAGTATGTATTTTTAATTGCTTTAAAACAGCAATGGTGCTGACTTATGAATTTGGACTTGGTTTGAGTATTTTCTCCTTAAAACTGCAGTGAACCAAAGTCAGTCTCAAACATGGTTTGAAATTGCTGTTCTCTACGTCACAAATGCGGTCGCAACGAATCACGTCAACAGGCTTTAGCATATTAACTGCTGCGAAGCAGGGGAGTCTCAAGAGAAGCCAGGTTATCCCGGTATATTTTTCTGGTGATATGAAAATTCAGGTAGACTTAGCAATATAGCGGGTGAATCATTTATATAATGTGTATTAGAACATCAGTGGAGAAAGGCATAGTTCATCATAACATTGTGAGTTGTTTAAAGCGTTTCTAAGGATGCTGATTTAGGCCAAAACGCATTACCATTCGGATACATCGATTTGTAGATGACCCTGTATAATTCACTCTTCCACTTCTTCTGAATCAGTTTCTGGTTTAAGCATAATGGCTGAATTAAACCAGTATTTCCACTGGCCATTGTGCAGCATTTACTATAGTAAAGTTGATTGAGTGAAACCAGTAGTCTGAGCTGGTGTAATGCAGGGTGGAGGTGGGGACTAATTTGCAGATTCATGGTTTCCACGTATATTAAAAGATAGGGTGTAGAATTACATTCAAGCTATTTTAAGGAAGAAATTCTTCACAAAAAAAAAAAAAAAAAAAATCATTATTTTGGTGATTAAAGAGTTCTAAGGGATAAAATAGACTACAGGGGGACTTTATCATATTTATGCCCACCCAGTATTTAACAAATGGCAGTCTCCAACTTTTGAAAAAACAAACTCACAGCAGTTGTCTTCATCAGTGGCGTCTACACAGTCTTTCTCTCCATCACAGAGGAAGTTTTCTGGGATGCAGCGAGTTTTATTGTCACACTGGTGTTTGCAGTCGTGTGAGCGAGTGAAACAGTCCATTTCATCAGAGCGGTCCTGACACTGAGGTGTGCCGTCACACACCTGCTTTCTGTCGATACACATCCTCCCATGAGCGCACTGGAACTGATCTAGGAGGAAACGTTTGGTTTAAATGCCACTTACACATGTCTTGGCTACATAAAGCAGTTACGAATCAGCTTCATGCGTTTTACCTGCTTTACACTTATATTCACAGCCCCGTTCATCAGATCCATCTGTACAGTCCCTCTCTCCATCACACACATGACTGTACAGGACACACTCACGTCCATCCTTACAGGGTTTAGAGCCCGTACGACACTTTAATGGCCCCGAGGATGAGGATTTAGCACCCATGTAACAAGCCACCTCATCAGAACCATCAAGGCAGTGAGCGCGACCATCACACACCAGATTCCCATCAATACACTTCCTTCTGTCCTTACACAGGAAGTCATCTGGCACAATATTACAGACGTCAGTGCTTTGGTCATTAAGAAAAAGATTTACATGGAAGATCAAGCAGAGATTTACCAGGTTTTGAACAAACGTGTACACACGACACTTCATCAGAACCATCCGGACAATCTATCTTCCCGTCACAGAACAGAGTCTGGGAAATGCACAGTGATGTTCCTGGACACATCACGGATGGACTTCTGCAGGTCGGAGGCGGAGGCGCAAAACCTGAACGGTCTTTGTTCAGAGTCACAGAATTTACTTCCTCTCTGTTAGTCTTAGCTGTGAACACATGGAGATCAGGCATTCATCAATAATGGTTGAACACAGCATGTCAAGTGTAACATGTGCTTATTGTTCTAAGAGGTTAACCAATAATAAGAGGAAATTTACATACAGTAGAGGTCTTAAAAGTATATAGAAGCAAAAAGCCAGAAAGGGTCAGGAATTGAGATTATTTTCAACATTAGTGGAGATCATGGGAAAAAATTAACAGGATATTGCACCTTTAAAGGCATGCATGTAATTGTTACAAATCTGGAGTAGGTGAAAGTATTATATGGAACAGTAAACCAAGACATTGGCAGGTTGATTTAGCTAGAAACACACTGTGGTTCGAACCAAAAACACCCGTTTGTATGAGTGGGCCAACATAGCAAAATTATGGTATGGTTCCTCCACACCAAACTTGCTTATCCATGTCTTTATGGACCTTGCTTTGGTGCACGGGTGCGCAGTCATGTTAGAACAGGACGGGGCAATCTCCAAAATGTTCCCACAAAGTTGGGAGCATGAAATGGTCCAAAATGTCTAGGTATGCTGAAGCACTAAGAGTTCCCTTCACTGGAACTAAGGGGCCAAGCCCAACCCCTGAAAAACAACCCCACACCATAATCCCCCCTCCACCAAACTTTACACTTGGCACAATGCAGTCGGGCAAGAACAGTTCTCCTGGCAACCGCCAAACCCAGACTCGTCCATCGGATTGCCAGACAGAGAAGTGTGATTGTCACTCCAGAGAACACGTCTCCACTGCTCTAGAGTCCAGTGACGGTGCGCTTTACACCACTGCATCCCACTTGATATAAGGCTTGGCTGCAGCTGCTCGGCCACAGAAACCCATTCCATGAAGCTCTCTACGCACCGTTCTTGAGCTAATCTGAAGGCCACAGAAGTTTGGAGATCTGTAGGTATTGACTCTGCAGAAAGTTGGCGACGTCTGCGCACCTCGGCATGCGCTGACCCCACTCTGTGATATTACGTGGCCTACCACTTCATGGCTGAGTTGCTGTTGTTCCCAATTGCTTCCACTTTGTTATAATACCACTAACAGTTGACCGTGGAATATTTAGTAGTGAGGAAATTTCCAGAATGGACTTATTGCACAGGTGGCATCTATCACAGTACCACGCTTGAATTCACTGAGCTCCTGAGAGCGACCCATTCTTTCACAAACGTTTGTAGAAGCGTCTGCATGCCTAGCTGACTGACTTTATACAACTGTGGCCATGGAAGGGATTGAAACACCTGAATTCAATGATTTGAAGGGGTGTCCCAATACTTTTGGCAATATAGTGTATATGGCTGAATTAAACTAGTATTTCCACTAGTAAACGCTGCACAATGGCAATAGTAATGTTGATTGAGTGAAACAGGTAGTCTGAGCTGGTGTAATGCAGGGTGGAGGTGGGGACTAATTTGCAGATTCATGGTTTCCACGTATATTAAATGAAGCAAGGGTGTATAATTACATTCAAGCTTTAAGAAATTCACAAATTTTTTTTATTCTTCAAATATGTCATTTTGGTGATTAAAGAGTTAAGGGATAACATTGACTACAGGGGGACTTTAAATACTGGGTGGGGAGAAATATAATAATGCATTGAACAAATGGCAGTCTCCATCTTTTGAAAACAAACTCACAGCAGCTGTCTTCATCAGTGGCGTCTATGCAGTCTTTCTCTCCATCACAGAGGAAGTTTTCTGGGATGCAGCGAGTTTTATTGTCACACTGGTGTTTGCAGTCGTGTGAGCGAGTGAAACAGTCCATTTCATCAGAGCGGTCCTGACACTGAGGTGTGCCGTCACACACCTGCTTTCTGTCGATACACATCCTCCCATGAGCGCACTGGAACTGATCTAGGAGGAAACGTTTGGTTTAAATGCCACTTACACATGTCTTGCCTACATAAAGCAGTTACGAATCAGCTTCATGCGTTTTACCTGCTTTACACTTATATTCACAGCCCCGTTCATCAGATCCATCCTTACAGTCCCTCTCTCCATCACACACATGACTGTACAGGACACACTCACGTCCATCCTTACAGGGTTTAGAGCCCGTACGACACTTTAATGGCCCCGAGGATGAGGATTTAGCAGCCATGTAACAAGCCACCTCATCAGAACCATCAAGGCAGTGAGCGCGACCATCACACACCAGATTCCCATCAATACACTTCCTTCTGTCCTTACACAGGAAGTCATCTGGCACAATATTACAGACGTCAGTGATTTGGTCATTAAGAAAAAGATTTACATGGAAGATCAAGCAGAGATTTACCAGGTTTTGAACAAACGTGTACACACGACACTTCATCAGAACCATCCGGACAATCTATCTTCCCGTCACAGAACAGAGTCTGGGAAATGCACAGTGATGTTCCTGGACACATCACGGATGGACTTCTGCAGGTCGGAGGCGGAGGCGCAAAACCTGAACGGTCTTTGTTCAGAGTCACAGAATTTACTTCCTCTCTGTTAGTCTTAGCTGTGAACACATGGAGATCAGGGATTCATCAATAACGGTTGAACACAGCATGTGAAGTGTAACATGTGCTTATTGTTCTAAGAGGTTAACCAATAATAAGAGGAAATTTACATGCAGTAGAGGTCTTAAGTATATAGTAGCACAAAAAGCCAGAAGGAGTCAGGAATTGTGATTATTTTCAACATTATTAGTGGAGATCATGGGAAAAAATTAACAGGATATTGCACCTTTAAAGGAATGCATGTAATTGTTGGTTTACTGTTTCATAGAATACTTTCACCTACTCCAGATTTGTAAGGCATTGGCAGGTTGATTTTGCTAGAAACGCACTGTGGTGCGAACCAAAAACACCCGTTTGTATGACTGAGCCGACACTGCAAAATTGACTCAACCAATGGTGAGAGTTTGGGTTGGAACGGTTTGTCGAACCAATAAAAAGTGGAATGTTTGGGAATCCTCTTTGAAAAAAACCTTGGCAACTCGTTTGGTGATGCTGTTGGAGATAATGGTTCACCCTTTGGTGAAAATCAATTTATTAAATGGTTTGTTTAAAAGCACATTAAAAACAATGCATAGACAAACATGTACAAATTTATAAGTCACCACCATTGTGGAGTATTTTCTCCTTAAAACTGCAGTGAACCAAAGGGTCTCAAAAACGCGTTTTGAAATTGCGGTTCTCTACGTCACAAATGCTGTCGTAACCAATCCTGTCAACATGCCGACAGGCTTTAGCTTATTAACTGCTGCGAAGCAGGAGAGTCTCAAGAGAAGCCAGGTTATACAGGTATACATTTTTCTGTTGATATGAAAAATCGGGTAGATTTAGTAATAAAGTGGATAAATTGTATTTATGCATGTACATTGGAATGTTATGATGAACTATATGCCTCTCTCCACTGACGTTCTGAGTTTTTTAAAGCGTTTCGAAGGATGCTGATTTAGGCTAAAATGCATTACCATTCTGATACATCGATTTGTAGATGACCCTGTATAATTCACTCTTCCACTTCTGAATCAGTTTCTGGTTCAAACATACACTATTGCCAAAAGTTGTGGGACGCCTGCCTTTACATGCACATGAAATTTAATGACATCCCATTCTTAATCCATAGGGTTTAATACCGAGTTGGCCCACCCTTTGCAGCTATAACAGCTTCTAAACCTTGTGGAAAGCCTACCCAGAAGAGTTGGAGTGTTTATGGGAATTTGACAATTCTTCTAGAAGCGCATTTGTGAGGTCAGGCACTGGTGCTGGACGAGAAGGCCTGGCTCGCAGTCTCCGCTCTAAATTTCATCCCAAAGGTGTTCTAACGGGTTGAGGTCAGGACTCTGTGCGGGCCAGCCAAGTTCCTCCACACCAAACTTGCTTATCCATGTCTTTATGGACCTTGCTTTGGAGCACGGGTGCACAGTCATGTTAGAACAGGACGGGGCAATCTCCAAAATGTTCCCACAAAGTTGGGAGCATGAAATGGTCCAAAATGTCTAGGTATGCTGAAGCACTAAGAGTTCCCTTCACTGGAACTAAGGGGCCAAGCCCAACCCCTGAAAAACAACCCCACACCATAATCCCCCCTCCACCAAACTTTACACTTGGCACAATGCAGTCGGGCAAGTACAGTTCTCCTGGCAACCGCCAAACCCAGACTCGTCCATCGGATTGCCAGACAGAGAAGTGTGATTGTCACTACAGAGAACACGTCTCCACTGCTCTAGAGTCCAGTGGCGGTGCGCTTTACACCACTGCATCCCACTTGATATAAGGCTTGGCTGCAGCTGCTCGGCCACAGAAACCCATTCCATGAAGCTCTCTACGCACCGTTCTTGAGCTAATCTGAAGGCCACAGAAGTTTGGAGATCTGTAGGTATTGACTCTGCAGAAAGTTGGCGACGTCTGCGCACCACGGCATGCGCTGACCCCACTCTGTGATATTACGTGGCCTACCACTTCATGGCTGAGTTGCTGTTGTTCCCAATTGCTTCCACTTTGTTATAACACCACTAACAGTTGACCGTGGAATATTTAGTAGTGAGGAAATTTCCAGAATGGACTTATTGCACAGGTGGCATCTATCACAGTACCACGCTTGAATTCACTGAGCTCCTGAGAGCGAACCATTCTTTCACAAACGTTTGTAGAAGCGTCTGCATGCCTAGCTGACTGACTTTATACAACTGTGGCCATGGAAGTGATTGAAACACCTGAATTCAATGATTTGGAGGGGTGTACCAATACGTTTGGCAATAGTGTATATGGCTGAATTAAACCAGTATTTCCACTGGCCCTTGTGCAGCGTTTACTATAGTAAGGTTGATTGAGTGAAACCGGTAGTCTGAGCTGGTGTAACGCAGGGTGGAGGTGGGGACTAATTTGCAGATTCATGGTTTCCACGTATATTAAATTAAGCAAGGGTGTATAATTACATTCAATTTTTTTTTTTTTTTTTTAAATAGCTTGAAATTCTTGTCATTTTGGTGATTAAAGAGTTCTAAGGGATAAAATTGACTACAGGGGGACTTTAAATACAGGGTGGGCATAAATATAATAATGCATTGAACAAATGGCAGTCTCCATCTTTTGAAAACAAACTCACAGCAGTTGTCTTCATCAGTGGCGTCTACACAGTCTTTCTCTCCATCACAGAGGAAGTTTTCTGGGATGCAGCGAGTTTTATTGTCACACTGGTGTTTGCAGTCGTGTGAGCGAGTGAAACAGTCCATTTCATCAGAGCGGTCCTGACACTGAGGTGTGCCATCACACACCTGCTTTCTGTCGATACACATCCTCCCATGAGCGCACTGGAACTGATCTAGGAGGAAACGTTTGGTTTAAATGCCACTTACACATGTCTTGGCTACATAAAGCAGTTACGAATCAGCTTCATGCGTTTTACCTGCTTTACACTTATATTCACAGCCCCGTTCATCAGATCCATCCTTACAGTCCCTCTCTCCATCACACACATGACTGTACAGGACACACTCGCGTCCATCCTTACAGGGTTTAGAGCCCAAACGACACTTTAATGGCCCCGAGGATGAGGATTTAGCAGCCATGTAACAAGCCACCTCATCAGAACCATCAAGGCAGTGAGCGCGACCATCACACACCAGATTCCCATCAATACACTTCCTTCTGTCCTTACACAGGAAGTCATCTGGCACAATATTACAGATGTCAGTGCTTTTCAACAAAAATAAAAGCAAAGATTTACATTGAAGATCAAGCAGAGATTTACCAGGTTTTGAACAAACGTGTACACACGACACTTCATCAGAACCATCCGGACAATCTATCTTCCCGTCACAGAACAGAGTCTGGGAAATGCACAGTGATGTTCCTGGACACATCATGGATGGACTTCTGCAGGTCGGAGGCGGAGGCGCAAAACCTGAACGGTCTTTGGTCAGAGTCACCGAATTTACATCGCCTCTGTTAGTCTCAGCTGAGAAATTACAAATACAGCATTCATCAATATTACATACAATAATATTAAATACAATGTCATCATTGGACAGTCTAAAATAATGTGCATAAATTACGTGATTAAATTCAAGCACAAGAGTGCCAGATCCACCAGCTTAAAGTAAAAATAAAACCGCACTCACTGGTTAAGGAAAACCTGGAAATATGAGGGAATTTTGAAATTGTGGCATGTCAAAATCAAGAACATTTGTACAAAAAAAAAATTTGTAGTTATGTTTAGCATGAAATAATTTCATAGGCTAGGAACTGTTTGTGAATGCGATCTTCATAAAATGTTTAAGATTCTTGGGCAGGGTTTGCCAAACTGGGATTGGTGAACCCCTGGAAGTTGGTGAGGGAACTGCAGGGGTTCATGAGTTTATGAAAAGCTAGGCAAAAACCTCAAATGAGTCACGATACAAATTAACCTCAATCTTTTGAAAACAAACTCACAGCAGTTGTCTTCATCAGTGGCGTCTACACAGTCTTTCTCTCCATCACAGAGGAAGTTTTCTGGGATGCAGCGAGTTTTATTGTCACACTGGTGATTGCAGTCGTGTGAGCGAGTGAAACAGTCCATTTCATCAGAGCGGTCCTGACACTGAGGTGTGCCGTCACACACCTGCTTTCTGTCGATACACATCCTCCCATGAGCGCACTGGAACTGATCTAGGAGGAAACGTTTGGTTATAATGCCACTTACACATGTCTTGGCTACATAAAGCAGTTACGAATCAGCTTCATGCGTTTTACCTGCTTTACACTTATATTCACAGCCCCGTTCATCAGATCCATCCTTACAGTCCCTCTCTCCATCACACACATGACTGTACAGGACACACTCACGTCCATCCTCACAGGGTTTAGAGCCCGTACGACACTTTAATGGCCCCGAGGATGAGGTTTCAGCAGCCATGGTGGGACATCCCATCTCATCTGAACCGTCAATGCAGTGAGAGCGACCATCACACACCAAATCTCTCTCCACACACTTACTCCCATCATTACACAGGAAGTCATCTGGAAGAACAAACCATTTTCTATTTAAATTTCCTGCAGTCTAATGATCTTTGCACACCAAGTCAGAAACACAATAAAACTAAACAAAATGCACAAAAAGCAAAGCTACACAGAAACAAGACCACCCCCCTGAACCAAGTTAATATTGTTCTAGAAGTTGACTATTCAAGTACTCTTTCAGGTTAAATATGATAAATAAAATGAGCAAAAACTCACTACTCAGAGTTAGTACTCGCTGCAGATAAAGTCCCAGTTGGTGATTTTAATATACATGTAGATAATGAAAAAGATGCATTGGGATTGGCATTTAAAAATATTCGTCTATTGGAGTTAAACACGTGTCAGGACCTACTCATTGTCATAACTCTAGATCTAATACGATCACACGGAATCGATGTTGATGCCGTTGAAATTCTGCAGCAGAGCGATGACATCTCAGATCATAATCTAGTCTCGCGTAAACTTCATTTAGCCAAGGCTGCAAAGCCGACGCATGTTACAAATATGTTAGACCTATCAATTTTGCCACTGATCCGGTAAGTTATTAATAAAGCAATGTTTAGTTTCATCTCAGCATCCCAGATTGCGACAAACTCTTAACTCTACCTTTTCCAGTACTTTAGGCACAGTTGCTCCATTGCACTTAAAGATTAAAGAAAAGAGTGCAACACCGTTGTACAACGAGCAAACTCAGGCCCTTAAGAGAGCAGCCAGAAAAATGGAGCAAAACTGGAAGAAAACTAAACTAGAGGTATTTCACGTTTCATGGAAGGAGAGCATAATTAACTATGCAACCGTCTACTACAGTATTGCATCAGGGAGTGCATTGTAGTCTCGCTAAGGAAAAAATTAGATTCATTCATTGCTATAGGATGAAGAATTTTTTTAACTCGTTAAATCCAAATCGACATGTTTGACCCTATACCGACTAAGCTAATGAAAGATGCTTCCAGAGGTCAAAGATCCTCTTAATATCATGAATTCATCTTTGTCATTAGGATAAATACCAAAAAGTTAAGCTGGCTGCGATTAAACCGCTTGTTAAAAAACACACAAAAAAAACACTTGATCCTACAGAATTAATCAATTACAGGCCGATCTCGAATCTACCTTTTCAGTCAAATATACTAGAAAAGGCAGTATCTTCACAACGATGTTCATTTTTAGAAAGAAATGGTTTCTGCGAAGATTTCAGTCAGACCGTACCATAGGACTGAGACAGCTCTCATCAGAGTCATAAATGATCTTCTCTTATCATCCGATCGTGGTTGTATCTCTCTATCGACCACAACATTCTTTTAAATAGACTCAAATGATGTTGGCATTAGTGGAAATGCATTAGCATGGTTTAAATACTTATGACCGTTATCAGTCTGTAGCAGTAAATGAAGAGATGTCTGATCGATCAAATTAGTATGGTGTACCACAAGGCTCAGTACTAGGACCGTTACTGTTCACTCTGTACATGCTACCCTTGGGAGATATCATTAGGAAGCATCGCATTAGTTTTCACTGCTATGCTGATACGCAGCTCTAGATTTCTTCACACCCTGACGAAACTAACCAATTCGCAAAATTAACAGAATGCATAGCTGATATTAAAAACGGGATGACTAGCAACTTACTAAATTCTGAAAAAAAGAGAGATTCTAATAATTGGAAAAAACAAAAAAACTCACGTAATAATCTAGAATACACTAACAATTGATGGCTGCTCTGTCAAGTCTTTGTCGGTTAGGAACCTGGGTGTGCTCTGATACCAATCTTTCATTTGAAAGTCACGTGTCTAGCATCTGTAAAACCACATTTTTTCCATCTTAAAAATATATCTAAATTGCGTCATATGCTCGCATGACCTAATTGTTCTGCATTTTTCATTGAGTTCATGACATCAAGGCTAGATTGTAATGCTATTATGGGTGGTTGCCCTGCACGCTTAAACTACAGCTGGTCCAAAATGCAGCAGCTCGAGTTCTTACCAGAACCAGGAAGTATGACCATATTAGCTCGGTTCAATCAACACTGCACTGGCTCCCTATTAAACATTGTAAGTGATCAGCAATATTAAATTTATACGAAGCAATAAATGGTTTAGCTCCCCAGTACTTGAGCGAGCTCTTACCGCATAGTCTTTCGCGTCTATTACAATTTTCAAAATTCCAGCCAGTTGATAATAGAATATCAAAATCGACTGCTGGCGGAAGATCCTTTTCCTATTTAGCACCAAAACTGTGGAACAATCTTCCTAACATTGTACAGGAAGCAGACACTGTCAGTTCAAATCTAGACTAAAAACACATCTCTTTGGCCTAGCATACACAACACATTATAGACTTCTATAATTAAATTTAGGCTGCATAGTTTAGATCAGCCGGAACACTCCTCATAAATCCTGATGTACTTGTTACATCATGAGGATGGCGTCTACGCTAATATTAGTCCGTTTATCCGAGGTTTACCGCAGTCCGCCGTATCCAGATCTGATGCAGGACCTGCGCTTGGACACGATGACAACGCAGTCCTGAAGTTTCAACCAGTCAAGGCGGATCCCGACCGTATCCAGATCAGATGGTGGACCTGCACCTGGACCCATCCCTAAAGTGCCAGCCTCATCAGCCCTGTGAAGGCCTCATCGACACGACAGCCATCGGCACTGATCCTCAAACTCGTCTCCATACCGGCGTGATGACTCTGACTTCCAACCAGATGGAACTGGATTAATATTCTGAATGTTCTGATCCAATCTGACCTGTAATGCTGCCTGAATCAATCATGCACTGTTCCTTCGTTGGCCAGAAGAGAACTGGCCCCCGTCTGAGCTTGGTTTCTCCCAAGGTTTTTTCCTCCATTCTGTCACTGATGGAGTTTTGGTTCCTTGCCACTGTTGCCTTGGCTTGCTTAGTTGGGGAAATTTAATATTCAACTACATTGATCTGCCTTAAGGTGGACGATGATGCAATTTTCTATTAGAAACAAACTTTGTATTATTTTCATGTGATCACTGTGAAGCTGCTTGATACAATCTGTATTGTAAAAAGCGCTATATAAAAAGGTGACTTGACTACTTGCAAAAAAAAAAAAAAAAAAAAAAAAAAAAAGTATATATATATAGAAAAAATTATATATATCTTCTGTCACTGCTTTCATGTGTTATTTTTTCAGTATTTTTTTTTAAAACAATGCAAAAACAGGTCTTAAGGATTTAGTAAACTAGAAGCATTCGAACAACAGTATTTTTAGTATTCGGATTTGGGCATATCCCTATTACTATGTTTGGATAGGAAATTACACATTCAACAGAATCTAAAGGGACACGGTGATGGAAAAAATATGAGGTGAGGAAAAAAAATATATATATTTAATGCTTTTGCAATTATACAGTTGGGTAATTATGTTGCATATAATTTGTGGGCACCAGGGAACCACAATCAAAATATGCAAAAACCCTTTTGAATGCACGCTCGCTTTTTAAATTTCACTATCGAATTCCCGACACACACACTCTGCTTATAGGTTGCACATCCCTATAGTTAATAAAATTACCTTTTTTTATTTTTGGGTGAACTATGCCTATCATAAAGCATACCTGGCTTTGCACACATGTCCAAACATGAGGCCTCATCAGACCCATCTGGACAGTCCTTCTTCCCATCACACCGCTGAGATCGACTGATACACACCGTTGAGCCTTGACAAAAGACTAGGGGACTTTTGCAAGTCACCTCAGTAGGATGAACATCTTCAGTCATCTTATCTGAAGTGCATACAAAACTACAAATAAGTAACTGTAGCAGAAAATCCACACAAAAGGAAACCCAGAAGAACATTACAAACCTTGTTGGACTTCCCTGAGGGCAACAGATAAGCTTACAACTCCTTTCTCGACAGCCACCCCAGAGACACGAGCTCCGTCTTTACGACTCCAAACGGTCAGGACGTTCTTGAACAATGCCACCATGTAGGGTTCATAAGCAGCCACGATGGAGCCAGGAACGACCCAGTCTAAACCAGCTGAGTACTTCCTCATCTTCAATAGACTCATAACCTGCAAGTCTAAAGCAAACGTAACATTCAGCTGAAGTACATGAAAGCCAGTAGTGTTCACACACGGTCAATTCAGAAAAAGGACACTCACAAGACTCCATGTTCCAAAGGAAGCCATTCGCTTTTCTGTCAAACACAATGCTGTCGACCCCACTGTCCTCAAAACTGAAGATCGATTCTGCTCTTCCAGCAAACAGACCCAGTTTCATTCTCATGATCTGAGCTCCCTCTAGCCAGTACAGCTTTCCTCTCTGCCAATCCACGAACAGGTCTAGGATTGCAGTTTTGGCTTGATATAGTTGCCTGGAAATGCTTTGGTCAAGGGGGCCAATGGTTGAAACACCAATGGAAAGTTCATCACATGCCAGCCAATACAGATTGCCGGTTCTCTGGTCAACTCTGACGACGCAGGCTAAGGGAAGAGACAAAGCAAGTCAGAATTACTCATGAGCTGGAATTATCAGTGGGAATAAATGTAGTGTAACCAATAAAAAAAAAAAATATATATATATATATTTTGCTTGGGAGTACATATGTAAATACATGCGAGTACATATCAATTTTCATACGTTTAATATTTCCCAAGATAAAAAGTATTTTCAAATATCAAGAAATATTAACTCGTGACATTACTGTACTTAATTATATTTATATCATGACATTTTACAATCTGAAAACATCCATTCAATGTCATAGAAAAAAAAAAAATTAAAGGGATTAAATACTGATTCAGTTAACTTTTTCTAAGCAATGGTAGTAAAATATTATACCAAACTACTTTCTTCATTCTTTTAATGAGGCTTTTATCCATCATGAAATGTATCAGGAGAGTTGTATCACTCCACACTTTTGGCCCAACAAAGTCAAGTGTGTGCAGCTCGAATCGCCAGTGTTTAGGCCTTATGTGAAATAGTAACACTTACCAGGTTTTAAAGTCAGAATGTACTCGGATAAGTCTTGAGAACGTATGTTCATCTTTACGTGGCCTGTCCCATTAGACCAAACCAGACATCCTCGCCGCCAGTACATGTCAAAGGACTGGATGTCTTCATCCGAAGTAAAGAGTTCAGTTTTCACAGGAGTCTTTCCAGCAAACTCCAAACTGTATATGGTTGTGGCTGTTGCATAGGCAACCGTAAAATCTGACAATGACGAGAGATTAAACAAATCATCAAAAGCAAAAGTTATAGGCCAATCTTTAAACAAATGCTTAATATTAAATGCTAAATAAACAAAAACACACTTTCGCAAGATCCCCAAGACATGGGCAACGCTCCCTCCGGACACAGACAGGTGAATCCAACAGCACTTTTCTTGGAGGGCAAACACAGCTGGCATCCTGAGTTTTTACATGGTGTAAAACCTACATGTACATCATGGAAACAATATTTAGCTGAGGCTTGAGCCAATGACGTGGTGTAACCACTAGGGGTGTACGATATTGACAAATTCAATATTTTCTGGGATTTTGTTGCGAATAATCAATTGATATTTGCTGAGCCGTTTTATTGTGCTGGTCCTTGGCAGGTTTAGGACTGCCGTAGACAGCTGACTCAAAGTTTTTGCCATTCTTCATATTTTGTGCGGTGGTTGTGACACTTGTACGCACAGAAAGCAGCTTAAGACAACGCTTGAACGGATAAGTCTTAAATAGTTGAAAATGGAATGGGCATCAGATCTGCACCATGTGCATCGTAGACATATCGCACACCCTTAGTAAACACTGTGATGAAGTCAGAAAGGCGGCGTTTACAAAATGTAATTTACCTTGGGGTTGCTGAAGCGCATGGTAGACGTTCAGGACAGGAAGCGAGGCTTTTAGGATGAATCCATCTCGTTTGGCAACAGACAGATTTTGAGGAGCCTGCCAGAGTTTTTTATCATCAGCCCAGTAGAACCAGCCATTAAATACAGCCAGAGTCTGAGCACGATTTCCTTGAAAGACACCCAAAAAGGTGTGCCGCCCAGTGCCATCTGTCCTGATGCTCTCAATTGACTGGAATATCAATTTAAAGTTCTCAAAATAAATACAATCAACACATTTGACAAACAAAATTAGGGTTTTTCCAAATGTAACGCACCATTTTGTATGTACTGATCCAATACAGCCGCTGTGCAGCCACATCCACCACAAGACTTCTTGGTAACTGTGCAGTAATGAACAACAGTGTTGTCCGATTCGAACCATCCATTTCCGCCCTCTCAATGGTTATTTCTTCATTCGTTGCTTTATTAATCCAAAATATGAAACTACGCAGAGGGAAAAAAAGCCGGATATAATGGTGCTCCTCAAATCTGTACTAAGGTGAGAAGCAGTTTGTACCTCTCGATTGGGCTGAGGACCATATCGCTTGGGTCCATTTCTTTGGACATGACGATGCCTACAGCACTACCATCAGCTGCACCAGTGTAGATGGCTTTCTGGGTAACACTCGCCCAATACAGCTGTCCAGTGAGCCAGTCGACGGCTAGACTCTTCACACCAGACTGCCCTAATAAGTGGGGAATAAAAACAAACATAACGTTTTTGGTCCATGCCAAAATATTTGAGGCATTTCTGCATGGACTTGGCAAAAATCCCTCAAAATAACTAACCTGAATACAGAATCGTGCTCTTCCGGTTAGAAGCCTTGTAGATATTCCCATTTTGATCCGCCCAGTAAATGAAGTTCCTCTGGATATCATAGGTCATGGCTACAGTTTCACTCTCACTTGTAAAAAGTGGTTCATACACTCTGGTCTTCACATTCACTAAACCAATGAGTCCCTTCCTAGATGTCAAAATCTTCATCACGGCTCCTTGAAAAAAAAAACAATTTGACATTATCGGCATTGTGTCTACTTGTTTTTACTTGTAAAATCTGAAAATGTAAGCCATAAGTTACCTTGAGCTTCACAAGAGCCATTGCCAAGAGGTTTGAAACCATTCTGGCACAGACAGCGAAAAGACCCTGGTGTATTAGAGCACAAGTGCATGCATGGTCCAAAAGACTGATCACACTCATTGACATCTGCAATATAAAAGATTTGTCATTTTACCGCACTAGATTCGTGTCCAACCAATTATTTATTCTAAAACTGACCACTATTAAAAACACACCTGTTTTACATAGCTTTTAACAATGAATAGGCAGGTTACATTGGCCGTTCCACTACTGTATGTTTTATACTCTATTTGTACGTAATGATTTATTGTTCCTTTTTTTTATGTGATTGTACTCTGACTAACTGATTCCATATGTACAGCACTTTGGTCAGCGGAAGTCGTTTTTAAATGTGCTTTATAAATAAATCTGACTCGACTATTGGTCACATGTGGAAGATGAACATTTGTCAATACAAAAGGTAATGTTTGGAATTAACAGTGTACAGACTACTGCATACATACAGCATCCTGACGACCCATTACGTATTAATAACAACTATTAGTTGGGCTTGCGAAGCATTGCTATTGTGGAGAAGTCAAAATGTGCTAGCATCATGCTAAATCATGTCAGCATATTTTAGCACAAAGCTAGATTATGCTAAAAACATGCTAACGCATGTTAGCAATAAGCTACCCATGTTATCATCATGCTAATGGTCTTAACATGATGCCAACAATGTTATTTTGTGTTAGCATATGCCAGCCACATGCTAAAGAGAATTATGCTAAAAAACACCCATATACATTTCAGAATATTGTAGAGAAATGAGGGTGAGCTTTTTTTGTCTCAGGGCAGTGTAGTTGTGCACTGCAAGCAAAGCACCGCTCACATTTTCTTCATAAAATGTACATCTAGTAATTATGCAACGGTTTGTCAAATTTCATTCGTCCATAAAACAGTGTAGATACTGCATTGCATTTTTTCTGTATGACTTGTATGTGTGTAACTCCAAATACAGCCTGCTTAGAGGCACAAGTGAAACGAGTGTACCTTCACAATCAAGTCCGTTTGCAGAAAGGGTCATTCCAGTGGGACAAGAGCACAGGGCTCCCCAAAGCTGGTCAATGCAAGAATGGCTACAGCCACCATTGCCATTATGACAAGTTTTACCTAGTTAAAAGAAGGGAAACATGAATAATAAGTAAACATAAGTAACCAAAATTAATAAACCAAATGAAACTAAGCCACTAACTAAAACAAACACCTAAACAAAACACTAAAAATAAATGAGCCAACCTGTTCATAGAGAAATGCTGCATGATCAAATTCAAACAGGTGTCAAAACAAAACAAATAACATTGCGAGTCTCCATGTACCACAAGTAAGAGGCTCATCTCTCCTATCCGAGCACTGAGCGACTCCGTCACACCTCTCTCTCTGGCTTATACACCTGCCATCAGCACAGCGCATGCTCATCTTCCCACAGGACCCTACAACACAGGTCACAAATATAGAACATCAATCTTAGAGATCATCAATAAAAAGGACATGGTGATATTCTAGATATCAACAGAAATGCTGTACAGCATAAAGGGTGTCGATTCTTAAGCCGTAACCCACAGAGATTCCATCGGCTTGCGTGTTGCGAGTGCAATATTAAAAGTTCACAGGACAATGAAGGCATTTACATGCACAATCATACACCAATGTACTCTTATTATGCTTTTTCCCCAGATGTTACCTTTCATGTAGTGTAATATGGCTGTTTGTGAATATAAAAGCTATGTAAAGTTTCAAAGATCAAAGTGCAGTTAAAAGGAGTTGTTGTCTCCAAAAAGAAAGCGATTCTGAACTGCCTGAAACGAGTCGTCAGTAATTCCAGTCTTACTACCTGCTCGAACCTACATAGGATTGTAACAAATTTGCATAACGCCAGCCTATGTCTTCATTGGAAGCCCAAGAACAATGTCTACGTTGACCCTCAAACACTTTAGTTGTAGCGGAGACTGGAAGGCTGCATCTGAAATCACACTTACCTACTATATAGTAGGCGAACAAACAGTATGTGATAAAAGTATGTCCGAATTCAAGGTATTCATAAGTAGGTAATAAGTCCGGGGATGATCTTCTACTTCCGGCGAGATTCTGAAGTGTGCATACAATGAACACTTTACTATCATATGAGGACACGGGAGAGGAATTTGAGAAAATTAAAGTGTGTTTTGACCATGAATGCATGCAAACCAAATCAGGAATCTTTAAAAAAGCAAATTACAGGAATAGCAAAATTATAAAAATAGCAAATTATTGCTTTCATTTTCCACCAAATACAACTATCTGAATCTTTTCCATTCAATTTTGCATGTGGACAAATTCCCCTTGTTTTAAGATTCTGATAATCAGAGCTGGTCACTTCTTGTATTTACTTTAACCAAGTGGTACAGCAATTTAACAAGTCAGTTCAAGTTTCTAATGCAATGACATTCATACACCATATAACAAGAGTTTACACTTCTAGAGCATCTCACCACACGTTTCTTCATCAGAGTTATCGCCGCAGTCGTCGACGTCATTGCAGAGAAGGTCTCGTGGGATGCAGACCTTGTTCTTGCACTTCCAGTCACCCGAGAGACACCCTAAACGCCAGCTGCAATCCCACTCATCCGAAGCATCGGGACATTGGGGCCGCCCGTCACAAACAGCCGACCCAGACACACACCCGGAGCCATCCGCACACTCAAAATCCCCTGCTTGACATACTAGTGGTATAAAATGTATGCTTGTTTGTTAAGTGTTTTTCTTCCATAGAAATGAATACAACAAGACCATTGTAAATGTAAAGAAAAAGGTGGTACATACAACAGTCCATCTCGTCAGATCCGTCCTGGCAGTCACTGGCAGCATCACAGCGCCATCGGTGCGGCACACACACCCCATCATCACACTGCCACTGACTCCTGCTGCAGTCTCCATACACACCTGAGAGAACATCCACAGCCCTCCTTCACTTTCAGTGCTTTTGACACATACGCATTATACGACCACTGCATACTTCATACTGGAAGTTGTCAACATGTAAAATGAAAATAGGGATATCCAAGGAGGTAAAAAAATTATCTTTATAGCTTTTTCAGTGACATATCTACTCGCATGACTTCCTGATTGAAAACTGAACGCACATTTACCATTTGCAAGAACAACAGTAATATGTATATATAATTGCAACATAAAACGTGTAAAAACTTGCCCTGCAAAAACACGTGTTGCTTCATATTTTTGTGTGACAACATTTATTTTAAATAGTAATTGTTTTGTAACAATGTGAAAGTACTGACACTTTCGGTTAATTTCATGTATTTATTGCTGAAAAACAAATCTTAGTGAGCAGAAAGTGTAGTTCTTTGCTAGTTTAATTTAATATAAAGATGATTGGAGTCTATAGATTAAAACAATTAAACGATTCATTATAAATTGACACTGAACTGATTTTCAGAAATGAACCAAACTCTTTAGTGTAATTTCCTAAATTTTGAATATAGTAGTGTGACATTGTATTTCGTTTACTTGCCACAGGAATAGAAAAGTGATAATGCAATTTCAGTTTAAAGGACATAATTCATACAACAAAAGTACTGTAGTTGAAGAGAATCTGAAACAAACAAACGAAAATAGTCACTGTGAAACCGAACTGAGACGTACCCTTCTTACAACTAGCCCCAGTTTCTCCTTTAGCTATCTTTTAAAGTATCGGTGGCATATTAAAATAAACATCATTAAAATGTCCTACCGCTTTTATAAGTTTATAATAAAGGCAAGACACTGACCTGCCAGTAAGGCGAAGACTGCCGTGCAGTAGATTAAACGCCTCAGGTCCATCACACCTGTTTGAGCCACGCGCGTCTGCGGGCCAATCACAATCCTTTATACGCGCTCAATCATGACGTCATGCAGGCATAGACAATCAAACATCTTTTGTTTACCGATCAAAAGGTTGTAATAATTAGGATGTTTCAAATATTTTTTTAAAGGACTCACCAAGTCTTCATTTATTTGGTCAAAAATACAATAGAAACAGTAAAATTGTGACAAAGTATTACAATTTAAAATAACTGTTTTCAATGTGAATTGCTTTTAAAAATGATCAAAGCTGAATTTTCAGCATCATTACTCCAGTCTTACGATCATACGATCCTTCAGAAATCATTCTAATATGCTGATCAATTATTAAGCACAGTTGTAGTCGTCGGTCCACGAGACGGAGGACTGTGAGGTGTTTCTCGTCTTCACACTATGCATTAGTTGCTTCACAATCACAACTTCACACAGCTGCTCAACTCATATTTCATAAATAAATGTGAATTATCTGGCCAAAGCAGTGATTGTGCTCAGTTTATGGCGTTCAGTTTATCGCATGATCACATGATCATCTCTCCACGAAGATTTTTTTTAGTTGGATTAGCTACACTCATCTGGTTTAGTGTTGAATTTGAAATCATATTAATTAGTTAAATGACAAAACTGCTGTCAACTTCAGCAGCTTTTTCCTCGTTTCAGTGTGCATACAACATCCATGCAAGCATTTCATCTGAATTTCTTCTGAAAGTTTTAGAAAGGTACAGTACAAAAACACAAAGATTAATTTGCATATTTTTTTAAACATTCCTAATATAACGATAATGTCACAAAATGTAAATAAAATTATTTACAAATATAAGTATATCTGAATAATAAAGAATATAATAAAATATTAAAACAAAACAAATCAAATAAAGTGTAAAAAAAAATGCATAGCCATTGCATGTGAACAAAATACTTTTGATTGTGCACATCACTGACAAATTTTGAGCCTTATTGAAAATTCCTACATTCCTATGATTAACATTTCATCTATAATTTAATTTGTAGCAACACAACATGAAAATATTAGTCTAGTCAAAGTTTCAGAAATATAGTACAAAAACACCGAGTAACAAAATGTCTATTACTAAATAATATAATTTTATTGTGGGTAATTTCAAGATGCAATTTTGCCAAATTATGCAGAAGAGATTAAACTATAATAGTTAGGCCTGGTTTCACAGAAAGGGTTTAGATTAAGTCAGGATTAGGCCCTATAATTCAATCAGGACATTTTATAAACGTACAAAGTGTGCAGATGTCATGTTATATGTCTCTGTCCGGAAAGGATGAAACATGTGCTGTACCTGTACACGTTTATTCATGCACTGTAAAAATTTTTAAATAATAAAATCTTTTTTTTTTAAAGTCACCGCCTTACATTTTTAAGTACAATCAACTTGATAATAATAAAAATAATAATAATAAAAATAAACCTGGATGTTTAAGCTTAAATTACATTAAACTGACTTTAAAAAAATAGTCGAATCTTCTTTAACTTATAAAAAATATGGAAATTGCAAAAAATTTAAAGCAATGATAAAACGTGTTGTGACTGTTGTCATAATCATGTCTTTTTTTTTTTTTTACAGTGTGCTCTTGACAGCAAAACAACTAGCGATTGAATAATGGACAATGGGGACATCTAGTGATCATGAGCTGGTACTGCTAGTGTGCTTTTTGTTATTACTTGGGCTTTATCGTCACATTAAATCACCTTTATGGAAAAAATATATATAATTTAGAACAAATCTTGACATATTGCTATAATGACTTCCATAACATCTGTGATGTACACATCTCACACTTTTGCCCATTTCTCGACGTTACAGCGAACATCATCACACACTGTTGAGGACAGAAAAACAATGGTGTTTTTTTAAACGTGTGTGTGTTTGTGTGTGTGTGTGTGTGCACGCTGCCTCGTAATCTTTATTATAGGTGCTTTATTACCGCAAATGAGCACAGGTGGTTTATAGCACACGCTTATGGTATGTTTTAGTCCTATTTGTTACACACTGAATGGCGGATGAACGCACACAACACATCCCAATCTCATAGTAATGTTATTTAGAGGCAGTAACTCGCTTGCAATTTCCCCACCCCGTTCGCTTCGAGTCTATTATGAAGTCAATAGATGGACAGCCACACTGACAAACCACTGCCTTCTACTAAAACCTAAACATCCCTGATTAGAAGACACAATCTGATTAGCCAATAAAAATCGACTGTAGTATGCATATTCATTTTTTATCAAGACTGACGGTTTCATAAGCCTATCGACGAGAAGCATATCAATGAAAGGCTTCTCGTTCATCCAATGAAAAGATAGGAGGCGGGGCTTAGGCAGAGCGCGTATCGCGTTGCGTGCTTTAAGGTTAGGTTGCGCGCGCTGGAGGCCGTCGTCTGCTGCTGTAATTCGGCTACAGTGGGAAGGAAAATATTGTTTAAAGTCGCCTTTTACCCACCCACGAATAATCCGTTTCGCTGGGATTTTACGCTACTCCTTCCTTACAGAGAAAGCTTCTCGCTAAAAGGGTGAGTTGAAGGGTAAATGTGAAGATAACGGCTCGCGAACCCGTTTGAAAGCTGTTTATTTTTCTGTCAAAGAAAGTAGCGCAGGCTGCTAGCGGTTTCCACAAACTCAACGGCAACGCAAACTCACACACCTCTCACTAACAGGCAAATGTCGATTTTTCGCTTTTGCACAGATGAAAGAGTTTATAATGCAGCGATGAATGTAAGTGTATTGATCCTGGGGTTTGTTATATCGCAGGCAGACCGGGACAGTGAGTCGATTAGCGGCCCATGCAGCCATAACAAGCCCGTGATACTCCACCAGATCACTGGAGAAGGTAAACAATGCGTTTATTTATTAATTATTAGTCATTTAGAGCTTACACATGAGTTAATGACGAGCAGGGTCTGTTTGACTCGACTTCTATGCATGATTAGAATGATACCAGCAGATGTAACGTTACTTGGTGATGTTTGTTTTGCCCATAAATATGTTTTTGCTTTGGCGTTTGTACACAAATGCATTCATAAGAATAGTGTGATATAACTTACTCCTGCCTCATTGGCCTCTGTGTATTGCTCATCTCAGGGTTTGGCTGTCAGAACTTACAGAGCTGTCTACCTAGACAACAGTTTTGGGCTTCAAAGTTGCATTACTAAATGCTGCTGACAAGGAACGCGCCAAAACGTTAGAATCAAACATTCCAACACGCCAATTATAGGCAAAATTGAGCGTTCCATTTGAGTGTTCCATTCGAAACTTTCAAAGCATCTGTGATGCTCAAATTTTGTGAACGTTCAATTAAAAACGTTCCGAACACGTCAATGATTTCCTGCTTACAGTGTTGATGCGTTTATTTTGTACTTTCCAATTTGGTCCATGACACCAGAAAACTTGAAACAAAAATTAATCTACCAGGCTTGTCTATATCTCATCAATACACTGAAAAAACTAAGTAAAATTCCATATGTGCAATTTACTTAACTTATTTAAGTGGACTTAATTTTTCTTTTGCAAGTTAAGTAAAATGAACAAAGAAAATAACAACTCCAACTTGGCCTGTAAACGTTTAAGTACTTATTTGAAGTTTACTTTGCAATACTTTTTACTCAAACAACATGACACTGAATTAAACCATGCTTTTAACGTGTATGCTTTACTTAGAAACATCTAAGTAGTAAATAAATAGTACAATAGATATTGTGTAAACACCATGTTTACATAATAGAAGTGACACGGTTCCCACCCGAACACAGGGACACAATACTTGGTACACATTGACGGTAACATTTGATGGATTGTTTTTGAATATGAATGTGTCATTTTTAATAAAGAAAATGAACTCCAGATGTCACAAAACAGCAATTTGCTAAACAGATAAAACGTGTGTAAATACTGCTGGAAAACAGTGAGAAATCAACCTTAATTATTCGTGCTGCAGTGCATGATGGGAACACCATAACAGAAAGTTGAGTTGATTTTACTTAATTTTATAACGTTGATATTTACGCTTTAATTTCTTCAAGCTTGAATTGAGTACTAATATAGAATTTTATTCTTGCCTGAACTAACTTTGTCATTTGTTTTTTTTAGAAGTATTTATTTAATTTTTATCAATGTGTGTTTAATATTTAATTCAAACCGTTCAAATAGGCGTGTTGCCAAAAAAGGTGAACGTGCCCCAAAATCACTGGTATGCTATAATAAATCTTTCAAATGCTCCCGAAATCTGCTATTCATGTTCAAAATGTGCCTTTGATGTGCTAACATGCTTCAAACGTTCTTGAAACCATTCAGACTAGCATGTGATGCCTAAAGTGCTGTCAAGCTCGACCGGTCACTAAGTGGCCGTTCACTTTTGCACTTTCGCTTTGTTGTACAATCTTGATATTTGAGATTTCAAATGTTGAATAGTTACACTAAGGGCTGTCACTAACGATTTTATTGCTAATCGGTCGATTATTTTGATGATTAATCGAGTAATCGGATGTTTTTTTTTAATGCTAATAAAATTAGACCTAAGTGAACAATTGCCTTTAAGATGAATTAATACATTTATAATAACAATGAGGCAATAATATTTGGTTTAAATAAAGTATCAAAAGCAAGGAGCCTGATCATTTGGTTTTATAAAACAACACTGTTAAAATGCATGGTATAGCCTACCTAATAGTCATCTTATGTACATTATGTATTATAACACATGCCACTTTACAGCAGATCAAATCCTTAATATTGGCCAAACGATATTTAATTCAATTGTTAACTTAATCTTTAATATTTTCCCATTTCTTTATGATAGAAATGCGACAGCCGCTGTAATATCTTGAACTAGAACATGTGGACATCAAAACATGCGAACTCAGAGTGAGGGTGTAAACCTTTATTTTGAAATTGTGAGTTCGAATATTGATGTATTCTCCTGTGTTGGCGTAGGTTTATATTGTGTTGTATATACTTTATTTTCCCCTTAGGGAAATTTGTCTTGGACACAGTTTATGCTGCATTTCCAGAATAAAAATAAGACATTAAAACAAAATAAAAATAATCAATCAATCACAGAATAAATCAATTACATGGTATATCTCGCCTAAACAATCCATACAGTAGAGCCAAACATGCAGACCATGTAACCGGTCGTCATACTGCACATCTAAAAGACCACTTTTATCACACACATAGTGGTGCATAAACCTTAAGACCTAAATAATAACATTATTTATTAGGGCTGGGTATTGACACAAATTTCACAATTCGATTTCGATTCAATATTGATTATTTTGGATATCAGGTACAATACATGGCAAAATTTCTCAAGGAAAACAAATCTCTTAACTAATGCTGTAAACTATGGGAGTCAGTTGTAGCCTATAGGCTTCATTAGCCTACTATAGTATTGAAGGTAAAAATGAACTGATTTGTAGCTATACAAACACTTAAATTACACTTTTATTTATTTTTATAACAATAAAGTTATATGAAATATAAACATTTAAATGGAGGCTGTCATTAAAACTTGCCAGATTTATTCAAACATGCATTAAATATCGAAGAACATTAAAAAAATATAATGAATATGTAATATGGTGCATATAATTAGCAAAATGCTCCTCTTTAGAGTTAATATTTCTAGCTGACTAACGAGTTTATGGTCACATATGGTTTTTCTGAGGTAAATGTGACGTGACATGACATTGTTTACAAGTTGTTTTACTGACGTCTTTCCGCGGTTGAAACACTGATTGAGCGATTCCATGTGACATGATATGGATTTCGATAAGTTGTACTCTATCTTTAACACACTTTCAGACGTTCATTCATGTTTATTTCACGCTGTAACTGGTATTATTAAGGCAGAAGAGGAGATCATGTGCTTCTCTTGAGCTGAGCCAGAGCGATCTCACGCCACAGCGCCAAAACGGTATTTATGTTTTTGAATTTCGTAAGAAAATGGATGCAATTTGAGACTTTATTTAGTATCAATAGTAACAAAGATTATTGCGATTTATTGGATGGGATGCGCGCTACAATGTTCCATTCATTCATCAAATGAAAACAGGATGACTAATCGATTCTTGAGATTTAAGAATTGATATCGGTTCGTAAAAATCGATATTTTTTACCCAGCCCTATTATTTATTGCTCTATATTATAATTTAAGTAATCAGTCCAAACCAGAGACAATCATAGGCCTTTGTCCTTGTCATTGAAAAGTCCAATAGAAACGGGAACAAAAGAGTTTTTAAACTGGTTCAGTCGACGTTTGGCCACTCTGTACCTTCTTCCTGAAGGCAGAAGCACATATTCAGGATGAAGGATGTGAAAAGGGTCAGCTAGTATCCTTTGTGCACCTCTGTACACATGATTTATCTTACAAATCTTGTTCCTAGATGAATGTGATAAGCAACCTAAACTCAAACCAATAACATGTGAATGAGAACAGTTCATGTGGAGCAGCATTTACTGTGAACTCAGCCGCTCTGAGACGAACACGCATGTAAATAAAGCGCATATATTAAACCCACAGGGCATGTATTAATTGAATTGCAGCCTCTGTTAATTCACAATAGCACTTATGCTATAGTATGTTTTTTTTAAAAGGGTTTTGATACATTATGCAGCTTTAGAAAACAGTCTAATATAATAATGCGGTTCATGGATTCTCGTCCGTGGAATGCATTTGAAGATTTTTTTTTAAATCGAGTAGCCTACTCTAATTTAACTTGAGGAATCGTGACAGCCCTAGTTACTGTTCATATAAGCAAGACAATTAGGAGGATTTGTTTGGGTTTTGTTACGTTAGCACATTTGGCTGGCAGAGAAACTCTTCCAGCCCAAAGCGTCTGAGAAGTCCATTAGATCATTAAACCTTTTCTGATGGCGTCCGTTCTCAAAGTCGAATGCATTTGTTGAAGTAGCATTTCGAGGTGTTTTCTCATCATTTCCCTTATCAGCCAGAGTAAGGGTATGTTGTAAGCCTAACCGAAATGATCAAGATGTTTTACTTCCACTTCCCCATGTTCACAGCCTGGCAGTATTCGCCTGGTTTCTGTGCAGATTTTCTTGTTATGCAGAACCTCTTTTCAAATGAAGCTCTAAACCCTTTTAAATGAAAGGCTAGCTTGTCTTCTGCAGTTTTTTCCTGTAGAAAATTGTTGTCAATGAAATCTCTCATTTGCTGACTAGGGTTGAGGCACTACTGCAATACAAGAGACATTACACGGTTCTTGGTACCACAAGAAACGCCAATTGTATTGAACACACTCCTTTATTTAAAGCTGATGATGTGTGAGTTCTGCTCTACTAGTGTCGCCAAACCAAATTGCAAAAATTATGTTTTAAGTTTCTCAAGCACCAGTCCACCATTGGTCAACAAACAGATAGTCCAGACTCAACGGCATCGGCGTAAGAAATGGCTTCTTTGGTGTCTCTGCATATTTAATTACAATAAGAGAACGTTTTTACAGTTTTAAGTCAGTATGAAAAAAAAAAAAGATATTCTGCATTAAATGAAACAAAATTAAAGACATTTCAAATAAATGCTGTTCTTTTGATCTTTCTGTTCATCAAAGCATCCTCAAAGAATATATCAGTTTCCAAAATATTAATCAACACAACTGTTTTCAGTGTCGATCATAATCAGAAATGTTTCCTGAGCATCAAATCATCATATCAGAGTGAGTTCTGAAGGATCATGTGACACTGAAGACTGGAGTAATGATGCTGACAATTCAGCACACAGGAATAAATTACATTTTACAATATATTCACAATAGAAAACGGTTGTTTTAAATTATAATATTTCACAATATTACTGTTTTTACTGTATTTGATCAAATAAATGCGGCCATGGTGAGCTTCTTTCAAAAACATTTAGAGCATCTCAGCGACCCAAAACGTTTGAATAGTAGTGTAAAAAGTGTATAATTTTTTTTTAACCAAATTGGTTCATGATTTTCACATAATTATTGGGTAATAAAGCCTCAGTAGTGAGTGACCAATAATTCTAATACAGAAAAAGATTACTAGCTGTAGAACAAATAATAACAACAAAAAGCAATACAATTGAATTAAGTCTTTAGTTTGCAATTGTAATCAGGGCATGTCATCTAGTCTCATCCCTGAAGTTTGGATTCTGTCATCGGCTGTTCTTGATTTCTCCTTCTCTCCACTCAGGTGACCCCTCGCCCCCCTTTCCTCTCCCGTTTCCTAAGCTTCTGTCCCCTGCCCCCTCATAATCAGCCCAGGGACCCTCTTCCTAAAAGCCAGTTAGGAACGTTGGGTCTGTTCCTCCCCATTCTCCTAGCCTCCATCTGTCTCTCTAACTCTGACCGCTCATCGGACTCCCCAAAACCATGTCCTCCATCTTGCCTTTCACTCCGCCCGTGGTGAAGCGTCTGCTGGGCTGGAAGAAGTCGGCCAGCGGTTCGAGCGGAGCGGGAGGGGGCGGAGAGCAGAACGGCCAGGAGGAGAAGTGGTGCGAGAAGGCCGTCAAAAGCCTGGTGAAGAAGCTGAAGAAGACGGGCCAGCTGGACGAGCTGGAGAAAGCCATCACCACACAGAACCTCAACACCAAGTGTGTCACCATCCCCAGGTACGCCAACATCAAAAGCTGCTCGCATTCCTGCTTTTAGATCAGTCCCGAATCTAGCGCTGGAAAACGCAAGAAAAAAGAGAGAAAATTAGTGTCATTTATTCATCTCCTTGTCATTTGAAAAAGTATGCTATCAGTTTATGTAGGTTTGAAGCGACATGAGGCCGAGTAAATATGTGCTTTTTTTAGTTTTAGTATCCCTTTAATACGGTTAGAGTTGCAAACCCATGATTGTAATAGAAAACGTTTTGTTCGTTTTGAGTCTTCATCTTATTATAAAGCGTTAAAACTCCTTTAATGATTTAGAAATGCTTTTATTTAAGTTTAGAAGTAACCTTAGCCGTATCATTGCGTGTGTTGCTTCGTGAGTGAAGGTGAAGACGTGACGCCGAGTTGCGTCTACCGTTGTGAAATATCAGCTTTACTCCCCTTTGTTTCTTTAAATGATTTCTGCTCCATCTGTCTCGACTTGAGTTAAGGTCATTCTGTACAGCTCCACGTCACCTCCATTCTGAGCTCACGAAGGCTTCTCATGCTGTGTGACTGTCTGCGTTATCAACCATCAGGCTGCTTTTATTCCATTCATCATGACAAATGGTGAAATATCAGCGCTGCTATTTTAGGGAAATGCTAAGAGGAGAGGATGAGATGTGTGTCCGAGCCACAACATATCAATAGTCTGAAACCGAGACGTTACAGATACACAAGGGTCGGGTGATGTCTGATACATTACATCTGTTTTCAGCCCTTTGGTGATATTTGAGAAATATAGAAATGGATTCAGTTCTTTTGTAAATGTAAATGCATTTATGTAAGAACTTGTTGAAATAAAAGCTTCACATTTTTACTTTTAAATACTAAACATTATATATATATATATATATATATATATATATACATACATACACACACACACGCGCACACACACACACACACGCACGCACACACACACACTCACACACACACACACACAGTAGTCAACATTTGAAGAATGTTCAATTCAAAACCTTTCATCAAAATTATACATACATTTTGAACGTCTTAGGACAACTTTGATGAACTTTGTTTGATCCACTTCAAATGTTGACTAATATATATATATATATATACACTGTATATATCAAAATTCTATAGAGATAAACTCAAGAATGAAAATGTACATGATTAAAAAAACAAACTAGAAGTGATAATGGAAATCTGAATTGTCCACTGAAGTTCCAGTTAAAAAGGGAATTTATTTTTTAATAAATCAAGTGTAAAGCAGTCGTTAAGATCTGCAGTTGGTCAGTGCAAGATCAGCACGATATTCACAATAGGGATTTCCATGCGCATTTTAGAATATCGCATAAAAAACGCTGGATGGAAACTCCAAGATGTGCCTAAATTAAAAATAATTTGCATAACAAGCTTGTGTGCTTAAGGCGATGCAGAAAACTGATAAGAAAACACGTACATAAACTACAATGGAAACACATTTACCTCACAAATTTCTCTGCGCATCAAAAAAGACACGTGACTTCCCGATGGCATAACTGGACTAAACTCGTTGAGATGTTGTTTTGGTCATTCTGAAATGCCTTAGCCTCGTCTTACACGGCTGTGTTCCCAAAACAGAAGGCATCTGCCTCCGAAATCAAGATAACACGACAGTGTTTATTACGCTTCACCTGTGTGCATGTCATTTGTTGCTGTTAATAAGCTATATTCGCAACTTTGAATGGAAAACAGCTTTTGTTGCTTAATTTTATAACGCCAACATGCTATAAACGGTCCTCTTGTAAGAAACACCACAGCCTGTTTTAGTATTTAGATTATCTAGCGCTCGTGTAAAGGTCTAGCACAGGTTCTTGTTCTTTGCCTTCTAATATAGTTTAATTTTGTTGTAAGATGCTGAACAAACTTGAAAAGGGCATAATCGCATGAAAGCGGCTTTAAACATTTCCTGGGTTAAATAAATGAAAAAGGTGTTGTCGAAACCGATAACGCAAGCGGCTTGTAATGGCAAACAGGCTTTGTCCTTGAGAGATTTATTTCTATTGAATCCTTTTTGAATTAATTCTAACTTCTCAAATCCACAGAGTCTTTATAAGTGTGTAGTTTAACAAACGCAGGCCTGAATGCGTATCTCCCTCTTTTTATTGAAAAATTGTGCAATGGTTATTGTGAAAATGCTCTGTGACTTGGCACTATGCCTTAATACTTGATCAGGTTCACTCAGCAAAACCTCTTAAGACTGTATAGCTTATAATAAATGCAGGTTAAGTCTATCCTCCCTCCAGCTGAAATGTGTACAAGTGAACATTAAACTGATGGCTTTCCTCTGCTTAGATGCAGAGCCCAGGTCAGGCCTTCAGAAACGTCATCCAGAGGGCTTTGTCTTCCCTTGAGAGTGGATTGAAAGGGTGGGAAACTTTGCTTCCAGCATGTGTTTTCTGCTGCTAATCTGTTCTCTAACCTTGGAGGCTTGTGGGAACGGCTGGATCAGTCATTGTGTCCGCCGGTTGCCGTGTTTGGTAATGGTAACGTCAAAAGCCTCCGCAACTGTCCTTTCCAGCCTCCCTTTACATACCTGTGAACAAAAGGCTCAGCTAGAGTGCTCTTCATTTATGAAAGGGCATAATAGCTTGTAGATGAAATGAAGATTGGTTTCAGATTTGTGCCGTTCATCACATCCAGTGACACATCTCCTGTGTTTCTTCTATCTCGAGTGCTTTTCGTACCGTGATTCGCCCAGGAAAGTCGTGTAGAAATGATCATATTCATGCGATGAGCTTCTGCAAATGGCACACTTTAAAAGAAGCTGGCATTAAATGATTTTCCACACAAAAGTTGTTGTTCCAAAAACTTTATTATAGTTTGACGAATTAAATGTTCTCTCTCACCATACAATGGAAGTCAGCTGTTTCCAAATGAATATTGTTAAAGTATTTTGATGACTGAAATGAATTTTCATCTTTGTGGTGGAGTATAATTTTAATCCACTCCACAGTTTTTCGAACAAACTAATATACAGTTTAGTATCACACAAAACCACTGTTTACAAAATGTGCATATCTTCTGTATTTGCTCTATCAAACTGTATTTCTTTTTGGCAGCATGAGAATAATAATACATCCACAAAGCTTCAGTTACTTGTCTAATGCTCAACATTTGCTCTTTGTTCTGTTGTATTAGAGCAAAATAGATTCATGTTTTTGTCTGGAAGTGAAGCACAAACATCACTTAAACGCATGTTACGATAAGCAGAACATCTACTGTACTGAACAGACTTACATTTTCAAAGTTTAAATGGTTGCCAAGGAATGATTTGTCATGTGCTTTTAAAATGCCATGATTAAACCACCCTGTTGCCCTCCTTAAAAGATTTTTATCCAGATATCAAGAGCATTATACAGAACTGATTGAGCTGGCAATCTCGAATGAAAGTCAGGAGATGATTTGTTAGTTGCTTGGGAAATCAATCTTGGATTTTTCCAAACAGACCCAGCTGTGTGCCATGTGTTTAATTTGCTCAAAACAAACGCTATATCAAAACAAAATGTTCCTGCATGCGTACATCCAGAACTAAACAATACGAACAAGCGTTGAATTTTAGCTGTTGTTTAGTCCTGTTTCATTACTTGTTACGTTACTCTTGTTTAAAGGGAAAACAAACCCGTATCTGTCTCGACCTAACTTCCTGTTGAAGATCTCCACCCAGGTCTTTTGTGCAGAAGTGCTGATAGTGTATCTGTAAGATGCCTTGAGTGAGTGTAAGAATGTGAAGAGGGTTTCTCCGTGAGGACAGAGCCGGCTGGCGCTCGGGCTTTTTCAGGTCTATTGATTGTAACCTGAAGACTCTGTTGTCTGTCTGGCTTTCCATACAATAATTAAGGCCTGGCTTTCATTTGGTTTGATAAATGACTTTAGAATTGAAAATGGGAAAATGTCATTTTCTTTGTTTGCCCATTATATATTTTTTTTTTATAAAATCTGTTCTCGGATCACAATTTATTCAGAATGTTAGTTGTGGTATCCATTAATTAGCCTTTGTATTATGGGAATTGCCAACAAAAACCTAAATCAATACAACAGATCGTATAAGTGGGTTAGCCATTTAAACAAAAGGATACGAGTTTTATGTGAAAGGAAATCATTTTATGAAGCATCTTGAATTGCTTGTTCGGACGTCTCTCGTGGGATTAAGATGTTGGTCACTTGGCACGTGTTCAAATGAAAGCCTGGAACGGGACACTCATTGACTGTTCATTTGCGGGAATCATCCTGAGATTGGACGGAGACATATGGTTTTCTTTTGTGATGGCTCTGTTTTAATCCGTCCTGGGGTTTGTTTTGATACGCGGCCCATTCATTGTTCCTGCTAAATCTTTGCGTTGTATTTTAAGACTAACTTTTCTTTAGCTAGTCACATGGTACTCAAAGAAGGTGCTGCTTTAAAAGAACATATTTTTAGCTTTCATCTCGTGCCAAGTGAGGGTAGCAGATGGACTGTGTGTGGTTTATTGGGGATGGGGTCTCCACTCACCAGGATACAAGGCTTAATTCCCTCCAAAAGTGTGTCATCTGTCTGGGACACGGACGCCCAGTGATGCTGGTGTGGGATCCACATTTATCAACTTGGTTCTGGTCACTTTGAATTAGGGTTGTGCGATTAATTGTAAATGATTTTTGATTTTGTTTTTAGCGATCATGAAAACAAGATAATCAAGGTAAAATGATCCGGCGAGTAAGTGAGTGTTGTAAAATGCGGTCTACTGTCGCTAAACAGCGGAGCGTGCCTGATGTGAAACGATGTCATTAAAAGCAAATTAAGCCGCGAAAGAGACGCTTCCCAGGTGGCTTTCTGTGTGCCAAACGCGCATAAGCAAAGTATACTGTGGGCTTCAGGTACGCGCCTAAACGGTCATATAGCCTACATGCACAAATGTCAAGATGGCGTTTTAAGTATCCTCGTGAACCCAGTCGTTATGTGTTCGGTGAATGTAAACCGCTGAGAAAGA